TACTGAACGGTCGCGCTACGTGAAACGAATGGTTAATTGCGAAAAAAGAAACAAAAGAAGAATAGTTTGAGGGAGGGGTGGTTCCTACATCGAGAGTGAAGTTGAATAGGCAATTCGGCGTAGTAACAATGAACGCGCTAAAAAATAAATAATTAGGAACAGAGTGCGCTGTGAATAATGTAACGCCCGATATTGGAAGAGAAAGTAAGGTGTGTTGGAATTCCTTGGTATACTGTAGCAATTGGAAAGAACTCTATGACCAAGTACATTGTTGAGTGACGATTACTTGTGGTGACACTCTCAGTCAATACAATTGAGGGCACTATGCAAGTTTAACGGTCAAGCCTACGCAGGTTTGGTTTAGGGTAAAAGTACTAAAAGTAGTTCGAGCAAAATTAGCTGTTTCGGCGACGTAGCTCGCCGAAACAGCTCCTGCTAGTTACGTGTGTTCATATTTGGATTAAGATAGATAAAGGGGTTCTTTGCTGTTGTGATTAGAAAGAATGGTAAATGCTGCGTTTCACCTTGAAATTGTACAGTGTGAGTGTGCAATGACGATCGGGTTGCGTGATTACTTTTAGTTGATTGAGGGCGCTATTCAAGTTTAACGGTGAAGCCTACGCGCAGTTTGTTTTGGGAGTGCAACTTACGAAAAGTAGTCCGCTCAGAATTTGCTGTTTTGGTAACGAAGTTCCCCGAAACAGCTCTTTCTAATTGCGTGTGTTTCATATTAGGATTAAAAAATAGGAACCTCTCCATTTCTTTTATTCTCATTTCTTATTAACCCTAATTGAATGAGCGCGTGTATAGGAAACCAATAAAAATGCAACGACGTCCGTTTCGAAACCCGGACCCAGCGGTCTGTGGACGATGACCCTAATTTAAAAAAAAAAAATTATCCGACTCCTTCCATTCTTGAGCTGCGTTTTTGGTCTCATGGGGTGAGTCTCAACACTTTAATCCAAAAAAGTGCACCTGTGCGCGACATGTTAATTAAACTCTTAATGTTTGACTTTTTTACCGAAGTCCACTGACCCACTTGATCCGAACTAAGGCCACAAAAAAAAGTCTCCGGTTTCTGGTATGGAGCTTGCCCAAAAAGTGGTGCGGCGACGCGGCTTTTTTTTTTTTTTACCTGATTGTTTTGCTTCAAAATGTCGGCTGATGACTGCAAATGGTGCCCGGCTAAACTTAGTGCAAATATATGGGAGTCCAGAGAGGCCACATAAAACTTATCCCCGACATACCACAAAACCTTTTGTGCTCAAATTGGTATTGAAACTCCACCTAGCTGCCAGACTAATAAGTCGTCGCTTATAAAGTCATAACATGTCGAGTAAGGATGTGTACGTAGAATCCCCAACATAGATTTTTCAAAAACAATAAATATAGTAAAAAGTTGAAACTAATGTACCAGAATATGGGAATAACATATTGACGACGGTGTTGCGTGGAAACAAGATACGAGCCAAGAAAGTTGGTTGCGCGAATATTTGTAAGCGCAAATTTGGGGGTACTCTACGATACTTACGAATTATTACGAATCTTTTGTTTAAAGAAAAGAACGGCACGCTCAGCCAGGGTCATGATAAATCTTCAAAAGATCGATACAAAACCCGCTCGCATACAAGTTTGCCGTGATATTATTTATACTAAATACAAGTACATTCGATCAATGCTTAACTTTTTGTATCATTGTTAGAAGTAAGGTAATTCTTTAGGCCTAATGTTACAACATGACGCGTGGACGGTTTCCAAACTGGAAGTTCCAACACTGCACAAAATAACAAAGTACTTCCTAAACATGCCTTTTCTTTATGTAATGGGGTGTTTTTGTTTTTTTTTTTTTGGGGGGGAATATGATGCCAACTACGGCTTCAGCTTATGGGTGCAGACCGGTATAAAATATAGTTCGAACAATTCCTACAAATCACAATTTGTGTAGTAACCCTGAAATTCTTTGCTATATAAGACAATTTTCTGGGCCATGAACTTGAAGGTTTAAAAATAAGCGGACCCCGGACCCCACGCCGTAAGGGCTTCGAGTTGTTGAGGATATAATACACTTATCCACATTACAATTAAAACATTGTGATCATTTTTAATGTTGGTTCTGTAGCGATAAACACGCCCCCTCCCACATCATCGGACCCATTACACGTATACTGTACATACCGTGCATTTGGCATATTTGCCCAAAAACCTGAGTTGGTAAAACTCTTATTATTGAAGGTCTTCCCGTGTGAATTTTGCACAGAAAAAAAACACAGGAGTTGTTGAGGATATAATACACTTATCCACATTAAAATTAAAACATTGTGATCATTTTTAATGTTGGTTCTGTAGCGATAAAGATGCCCCCTCCCACAGCATCGGACCCATTACTGTACATAGCGTACATCATTCTGCCTGTTTAAAACGCGGAACTCTCTGAGGCCTGTACCCATCGATCGCGCCGCCTGGGTGAAACATGGGACTCTTAGTACAGAGGGCCGTCCCGTGTTTTTTTTTTTTTTTTTTGTCCAAAGAAAACAAAAGAGGATTTGACGAGGATATAAGACAATTGTCGACATTACAAATAAAACTATACGATAATTCCAAAAATGTTACTTCTGCAGAATTCGTTCTGCAGCAGTACATCATCCCCCTATCAACTGTTTAATACACGTGCTTCACAAAGCACTGAGTTTCACTGCACCCGTGGTTTGTAAACGGCATGTATCCCTTTACAGCATGTGTTCTGCACTGTTCTGCAAATACTACACACAATTATTATACCGTACGGTACGACGGCACAAACAGGTGGGATATCTTTTATTTTAACTAATTTAAGGGCAGATTTATGAGGATTTTGGGACTTAAGAATGAGATTGGGTCCTTTCTGTATTTTTAAAGCCAGTATTTAATCTTAATTTGGTGTTATATTCCTAGTTCTGCAGAGTTCCGCAGAGTTCTGCACGTCTGCAAGTTCCGCAAAATACCTACGCCCAATTTTGGACAGAATAGACCTACCCAGCCAAAATTTGTGCTCACATTCAGTGGTGTAGACAAAATTACTCCCTGAGGCTATTTATATCTAACTGACGTCTGATGGAAATGAGACTAGAGGGAGAACAGTCAACAACCAGCTCACGGCGACAAGACATCATGCAACTTGCAAGACGTTTTATCGAGCGATGACGACCACACACATCAATGGAGGGCGCAATCATTCTGCTTCAGTTGACGGAAAAATGCTCACTAAAACGGGCTGTAATTTTACACTTACCGTGCACGCTTTCTAGAAGTCCAACTAAAACTGAACAGACCAAAGCAAATGGCAGGACGCTGCAATCTAATTTCATTTCCACGTTTTTAAGATGAAAATAATGGTGACCTTTCCTTCAGAGAGACGTTCCAGTTTCCCGATTTTTTTTTTCTCGCGGAAATGGTGCGGATAAATAGGTAGGCCCATGTGACCGTGATTAGCTAAAAGTTTTGGCCGCACCACGCACGCGCGCGCACATATTCCAACACAGACAGAAAGTAGTTCATAATTGTGCAACGATCTATCTAGGCCTCAACATACTGTCTTTTAAGTTTAATTTCAGGAAGGTGGCACGTCCTTAAGATTATAAATATTATAGATTATAAATTAAAAAACTGTTAGTCTATAGGCCCATGTTCAGCATGAAGTAAGGAAATCGACCCATTCCAGAAATCATGTTTATTCAAATGATTGGAACAACAAATTAAATAAAGGATGATCAAAAGGATTATTTGCCATCTACTGAAATGGTCTGACGTCTGTACAATTTTGTCCCCCTTGTTTTTATTTGGCGCTCCTTTCCTCAATAACCATCAATCTTTGAAAGCTTTGAATTATGCAAAATATTTCAGAATGATTTTATTATCTGCATTTTACATTCCATTTAAAGGTTGTTTACATCAAAGACTGTTTTAAAATGAAAACGGACCATGAGCTTCAGATCTGCAGAGGGTGATCAAAAATCGATACAAATGAAATATAGGAGGATTTTAAAATCCACAACTTTAGCATACTTAGAGTTTATAAATCCATACAAGCAAAAGTATATACAGATATTTCCAGGTAGCAAGTTATTCATATTTATTTAAATCTGCACATAATATGATGTATGACATCCAATGAATTTTATAAAGACATAATCATATCAAACTTACATTATGAATTAATTGAGGTCTATCTCGCCAAATTAAATTTTACCAAAAGTTCCATTAATATTGTTACAGTTTGTATATATTGAAAGTCTGAGTGTTTTTCTTCATTCATGTTGGTAGCTCTTTCTTAAAAATAATGATGATTCTCATATACACATACAATATGTGCATGTAATTACAATGAATTTATGACAAATTGAAGAAACTATTTCAAAAGGAAAATGCCATTTGTGTATTCTTTTTCTTAAGTAAATGTTGGCTTACAAAATTGATATATGTTCTTTGTCTTGCCACTTTTCCCCAAATTCTATGAACTACATAGCTTTAATTCTTTAAATGTGTGCCTTTTGAAAGCAATTTATAATGAAACGTCACTTTACAATTAGAAAAACAAAATATCTTCACAAGATGCTTACAACTTTCAAAACATTGAGAACTTAAGATAAAGAGTACTGCCATATGTTAATACATTCAGCCTTCGTTTGCTTCAAAATTTGTACGACTTAAACATAATGAATGAAAAGTGAACATGAAGTGGTGAAAACCATAAATGGCAGCAATACTGTAATAATGGATATTGGAATTGTTTACAAATCAGCATCTAATAGTAGTCTTGATATTGTTTTTTTGATCATGTCAAAGTAAATCATTCAATTAATTTGTACTAGGCCACATAAAAAACAAACATGTTTAGCGTCCCCACCCGCTTCCTTTTTGGAGGCCCCCCCCCCCTTTTTTTCCTTTTTTTTTTAATTGGAAAAAAAAACCCGTAAAAAAATGATACATTTTAAAACAGTGACATCATTTTGGCCTCTTTGTCTATTGTATCTAGCCCATATAAAGCTGGTATGTCATTTCCCGGGTCCAAGTGGTGGCCATTTAAAAATAAAGAGCTGGAAGCCATCTTGAAAAATAGCCCGGCTGGTCGTGTTGAAAAATAGGGCGGCCATTTTTGAAAAAGAAAAAAAAAACAGGCAGGACGCTAAACGTTTTTTTTTACTTGGCCTTAATACATGATAAGTTTTGCGACTTGAATATGAAAAGTATTTATAAAGTGCACTTTACAAGAAACTTTATGTTGTTTTTCCATCATGACCAAGTAAACTCTTCAATTTAAAGATGCATTCCTCGAGCCATTTTCAAGTTTTAAATGAAACAAATTACACGTTTATCACATCAAACTTCTACTGTGTAAATATAGAAATTTATTGATTGTGGCTCTAAAATAAAAACATTTCAGGCCCAAAAATTCTTATCAAGCCCTATCTACTTTTCACCCCTTGAAATTACTTATAGAAAACCAGATATGAGTACATGATGATGTATCCCGGGTTCTCAGTGGGATTAGGGTCTTTGCCCTCAAACCAGCCAAAATAGGTGATGTTATTTTGTCCGCTAGTCAGTTGGGCAGTGACGTTGAAGACCCAAGGATCCACCTCTCTGCCATCGCACCATCCGTCGCGGCCGTATAGCCAGGTTCCGTGCTCGTTGGGCTCCACTCCTGTGGGCGTCCGCAGGGCGCAACCTAATGCGGTGCCTGAGGGTATGAGATTGGGCATTACGATTACAATGGATAGAGCAAGGAGGTATGTTATTCAACATCCATGATACAAGTTGCGACATCTATCATACTAAATACATTGTTATACCTCTGTCTTAAATACTGTATTTTCATTGGCCCAGAACGGTCACGTGTTAAGTTTATAAAAAGTCATGGCACACTCCCTGTGGGATATCACGTATGGTTCGTACGGTGTGAAACGCTTGTATCGTTGGTATCCATGCTATTTTCAAGTTTTCAAACATGAGTGGGAGCAACGATTAAGCAGACGATCAGCTGATTCGAGCACGGGACACGCATGTGAGTTGATGTTCGATGGTCATGATTGTTGTGTTTACTGCTGTTTGTTTTCATTATTATTACATCAAAATCCAAATAACCCAAGACAGAGGTATAACAAACAATTGTTGACTGCTTTGAAGTGGGATATGACATATTGAACACCCTTGGGGTGCATAGTTCGCCTCGGGTGCTATGCACCCCTCAGGTGTTCATAACGTCATATCCCACATCGCAGCAGTCAACAACTGTTAAATATCCATGGTGTTGCCAAAGTTGTCTACAGCTGTGTGAAAGTTTCGTCGAGTCCGAGAAATTATGAGCTCTTACAGAACGGTTGGTCCTATATCCGTCCTTGATTTTCACATTTTATAAGAATGAGGAAAGGGATACCTACCCGCATTGCTGAATGTTATATTGTTATAGTGTCCATTGACAACGAAGTGGTGCGACGTGACGCAGAATTCTCCACAGCCGTTGTTATCGCTTCCGTGTCCCGTTATCGCAGCATAAACCTGCACCTACAAAATCAATCCGAGGGAGCAATGATTACTGCTTATTATTGAAAAAAGAAATAATTGGAAGTGTTAAAACATCAAAAATATCTGAAATGGGACAGAGTATTACACATAGCCCTTTTGAGAAACATTGGGGACAGAACACGAGGGCGCCATGTGGTTTGGTGAACTTTTAATTGACCCAAACATAACAGCGCCCTCTAATTGTGTCCAGCATATCTCAAAATGGTATCAATTCAGGAAACTGTTAAGCCAAAGTTCCATTACACAACTGCAAACACAGAGAGAGAACTAAGCGGTTAACTTTGCTTATTTCTTTGAATATATTTGACACTATTCTGTCACAAGATTTTTACCTTTTTCACATCAGCAGGCACGGTGAAAAAGTGCGGCTTGTAGTTTTGGTTGTAGCTCTTGTTGAACGTTCCCCCTCGGAATAAGGGCGTGATTTTGTAGGGTCTCAATAGTCCTGTAGAGTGAAAGATGTTTCAATTATCCATGTAATTCATGACAAATAAATATCATCTCAACTGACACTTCTTATTCATTTATTTTTAATCCAATACTACCTGTACTTCATTGTGTTTATTTACTGAAGAATCAATACAACCAGAGAGTGCTCTTGTGGTTTTGGGTGCTCCAGGGAGTAATGGCAGAGCAGTTTCGGGCGCTATACTGACTAAAGGGTTAACCAAGATTATGCGAGCATCCACGAAAAGATAGTTGCACATGGAGAATTTACCCAACAAAATGCAATAATTTGTAGTAATAAACTTTGCACTTGTTCCAGAGTTGTGCTGATCAAAAAAAGTATCTGAAGTTACTCAGGTGGATTGGAGGGGTAGTATTCATTTATTTGATTTCTTTATTTATTATTTTATCTGGGTAGCCCATTCAGTGGAATCCACTGATCTCCCATGGGTCCAAGTAAAGAGAAGACAATGTCAAGAAATTACAGTTTAAGCGGTGGGAGGAAAAACCCAGAAGAGTATTCTGAGGAAAACCCACGGAATCAGGCAGGGACTGAAAACCCAGTCCACATATTGGCCCAGCAGGATTCGAACCCAGGTTAACGCGGTGAAAGGCGAGCAAAGTACCACTACACCAACCTGACTCCCACTAGGAGGGGAATTTTGGCATGTCTGTAGAAAAACTATAACAAAGTAAATCTGGTGCGGGCAATCAGTAAATATTTCAGAGAGTTTGTAGAAATTGTGTCAGTTCTATTAACCGCCACAATACTCTACAGCCGCTACCATCTCAAATCGATATGAACAATGACACAAGCATCTTGACTTCCTCAGGAGGCCTCATACCTTCCGTGCTGTCCTTTGAGAAGCGTAGATTCAGCGATGGTTTCCAGGCTTTTGCCCAGGGCACTGTCTTCATGGTGAACGTGCACATGTTGGAGTTGATGAGAGGAAACAGTGGGGACACATCCGTCAACCAACGGCCGATACGTCTAAGAAAAACCAGAACGGTAAACTGCGCGTTAGTGTTGCAGTCGAGTCTGCCACGAGTCCGGTCATAAGTAAATCACAAGTCTTCTCACATGTCCAGTCACAAGTAGCAGGGGATGAACAATGACGCAGGAATGCTCGTCTTAGTTCTGGACTAGTTGCGGAAAGGATCATCCATTTTGTTCGGCAGAACCACTGCATTTGTCCCGGACATGTTCTACGGCAATTTTCATTAGCAACTGCTTGACTCGACCATACGGATAACTTCAAGGTGGGATGATTGCAGGGGAGTTGTTCAGAATCCTGCAACTTTTCTCTGTACAATGTCCGCAACTTGTCCAGAATTCGTTCCGGATATGAAATCAGATGGGCCCTTAGTTCATTTGAAAAGCCTGTCACTTGACTTGTCACTTGACTTGTCACTTGACTTGTGACTGGATTTTTTTTATGGACTTGTGAGGACTTGTAATGGACTATTAACTAGTTCCTTTTAGTTTGGAGAATAGTAAAAAGTTTGATGTTCTGAACCTTAAAAGTGTCTGATGTTTATTAAACATGTACATTTGTTTTTACCTAAAATATTTTCACAATCAGTTGAAACAAAATGAGCCCCTTACCTCCGGAATGGTGTGATCCATCTGCCTAGCTCCATATTACACAAAGGGGAGGTTCCATTACAGCACAGGTAGAGATTGACAGTGTGATCCCAGGGTGGGCAACTCTCATCTTTCGTTCCAGGGCAAGACAGAGATGCATCGAGCTCCAGTTTGTTATACTGGGACAATTCTACAAACCAGAGAAAAAAAGTGTATTGATAAGTGACAGGTTCCCCACATCATTGCAAAAAATATCTACACACAGGGAATAATAACACCACTCAAAATACAAAGAAGAGTGTTTCAAGATGGAGGAGGATTAAAAAGTACCTCTCAGTAGTCATGGTGGTACGGCAACAATTTAGATACATCTTTACATATTTCAGGCTTTCAAGTGAAGTGAAAAAGTAGGAGAAAAGTAGGATCCAAATTTTCCAAAAAAAATAACAAAAGTAGGACTCTAGAGAACAAAATCAAGATATACGTAGGACTTTTGCAGGCTTTCAGGAGTACTTTTCGTTGATACTCAACCATGTCCACAGCATCATAAGCCTCATTTGCAATGTTGCTGCATCTTCAACTAAGCTCTTGGAAGTACGGTTGCAGTATTCCTGCACCCAAGCCCTTCATTGTGTGATTTACATATGGCAGTGTATAACACTGTTATGAAAAATAATCAATGAGATTTCATCATCGGCGTTGTGAGACAAAAAGTAGGAAGAAGTAGGAAAAAGAAGGAATTTCAAGAAAAATGTAGGAAAAGAAAGGGCAAGGTCAGAAAAATTAGGAAAAGGTACAAAAAGTTGGAATACTTGAAAGCCTGTGATTTGTAGGCCCTCTAAAGAAAAACTTTACTTGGAAAGCAAAAGCCTTCACAGCCATTCAATATGTGTATAAACTTCAGGGATGTGATTGGTCTGTGACAAAAAACCCTGAAAATGTTATGCATGAAGTGCAAACTCTAGTGAGCGCGAAACGCGCAGCCATTACGGCGTGGGGTCCGGGGCCCGCTTAAGGCCCCCAATTTTTTTTTGATTTTTAGATGATCTGTGGTGCAATCTGAGGCGATTACTGGGCACTTTCCTCTGAAACTTTGGTGCAGAATTTGTTTTAAGTTTAAGAAGAATTTTCCTTCATTTGTTAAAATGTACTCTTGTTCTTATAAAGTTTCTTCTGTACTCAAATTTGAGAACCATGCATTTTCATGTTACCTCGCCGTATTTGCCATGCTTTGGTGTGCTTTGGGTGTTTCACATGGGATATGACTCGAGCGATTTCTATCCACTCGACGCTTAGTTGATAATGTCGTTGCAAACATTGCAAAAAACCTTGCCAGCGCCGGGTTGCTATTTTATCGAAACACTCTTGCTGAAATTCATGCTGATGCCCGTCAATAATAACGGAGTCCCGAAACCATTCCTACCGGAACTTATTTTTCACTTCTTTATCAAGCTCTCGCTGTCGCACTGATAAATCTCCTTGCGACAGTATCGACTTGTTGGGCGCAGACGGCCATGTTGGAAGCATACGTACACAAACACTCCGAGCCGACGCACGTAAAACAACGCAACAACGTGCATAATCCACATTGTACCGTACTGTATGCCATTGCGCACGCTGAGTAATATTAGTCTGTACACCTGACCAGCGCAACACGTGCATCTCTCAAGTACCGACACAGGAACTAGACCTAAATAATCACAACCTCGGACCCGAGCGAAAGATCACATGATCGCGCTAACAGCAACGCATAGTCTTCAACTTCGTTCTCACATTGGGTATCCAATATGTGCGTGCGTTAAAAGATACATCGATCAACGAAGTGATGTCCGTAAGTAAATTTCGGATACTTCGGCAAGCAAAACTCATTATGAATCATTAATTAGCACATTCTACCCCCCTATTTTCTCAACGGAATCACACGATTTACGTTGGTGGACTTTTGAGGCCCCAAAAAACGGATTTCCGGAAAAAAACGGAGAAATCACATCCCTGAAACTTAGAAATTTGCAAGTAGCCATTCTTTGGCTACGGCTAGCAATTACGTATGGGACTATGGAGTAGCTGGATCCACTTGCAACAGAAACATGCATTTTTGCCTGCCATAGCCGAGTGATTTGGGACGAAGCCTTACTCTCTAGTGTTGGAAGTTGGATGGTTTTTACGACGCCTGCATCGCCTTGCATGGTGGAATTGTCAATGACTGGGATGACCAATGCTTCAGTCTTGAGTTTTTGCAGCAGGGTTGACTTGTAGTTAAACCTGAGAACAATGGCAGTAAACCAAGATTCTGTATAAGTTAAATTTGAAGAAACGTGATGAGGGTAACATTACAATGGCAGGTCAAGTTTCAATACAATAAACAGCTTCTGTGTATGTTTAGGCCCCCCCAAAAAGTCTCTGTTTTCCGGAATGCGGGCGCGTCGCCATAGGCATGCGCGTCGGCAAAATGAAAAAGATTTTTTTTCAATGACAGATGATGTTTCAAAACCGCCAAACTCACTGGTTTGACTGGAATTCTGCTGCTGCACAATTGTAACGTGTTTTTAGATTGGGTTATGGTCGAGAATAAGCTTTATGTGGCCTCTCTGGACTCCCATATATGTGCACTAAGTTTAGTCGGGCACCATTTGCAGTCATCAGCCGACATTTGAAGCAAAAAAATGAGGTAAAAAAAAAAAAAAAAAAGTCGCGTCGCCGCACCACTTTTTGGGCAAGCTCCATACCAGAAACCAGAGACTTTTTTTTTTGGGCCTTATGGACCTCTTCGTTTATTGACCTCTTTCATGAAGGGGTAGTTTGGAAAGTGGGTCTAAATTTTGGACTAATTTCATAATGCAACAGAGGCACATGTTTAATGCATTTTTGGTTTGAATAGGTTATCTCTCAAAATCAAGCAGAATTTGTGGGTGAGGAGTTATCAAAAGTATTGACCACTTTATACAAATAAACCATGGTATAGTAAACGCGCCTCACTTGGAGGTCATTGGAGCATTGACCATGGTATAGTAAAACTTAACTCCTTTGGTGGTCATTGGAGCATTCCGTTTCCCTCAGTATGAATTCAAGAAAACAGACCACTCCATGGAAATAACCTCGGGAGGTTAGTCTTACTATCCCACTGGAAGTAGTCAGTATGTCTATACCTTACCACCTGAAGCAGTCAATATGTCTATACCTTACCACCTGAAGCAGTCAATATTTCTATATCTTACCACCTGAATCAGTCAATATATATCTATATCTTACCACTCGGCCTGCCAGTTGAAGAACTGGAATGTAGGGTACAGCAGCCATCCCATTTCAGCAAGAAGACCCTCCCCGTTGATTCCGAAGTAGTAATTCTCCGTCGGAGTGGTTTGGAAGGATACATAGAGATTGTCCGTCTGTAACCTGGAGAGAAATAGCTCTCGTCAATAGACCGTCTCATAGACCGCCATCTTCGTAGGAAAATTACAACTGCGTGTTCAACGCCATCAGGTCCGTGCACGTGCAGTGTGCAACATTTTCGAAATAGGGCACAACCGATGCGCGTCAAGAAAATTTGACGCCCAAAATGCTGATGCATGTGACAATCTGTCGGAAGTGACGTCATTTGAGAGAGACCTATAATAGGAGTTACCTCGATTTGTAGAAAAAGAAATGATACCAAAAAACAATATTTAAAAATCAAACTCTCAGGATATTAAATGTTGTAACGCGTATGGTTACGGGCAACGCCAGACTAAATTAAATATTTAGCCCCACTGAGCCAAAAATCCAAACATGAAATTGCCAAATTACTATGAAATGGCTTATTTTGCTGTAAGAAAACACTAAAACCATGCATCCTGTGGAATCATTGCATCCGTTACGCTGTTATTTTTAAAAAGGGAGGAATTAGAATCATGTTCAAATGACAAAACAATTGTCAGAAAAGTGACTGTTTTCAAATACTACAAAGTTATCGGGTGCAAACCAGCAATAAATCGTGTGTGTACGCCAAGTGCTGCAAGTTCACAAATGGCAGTTATTTTTTCATGACACAGCCAGCACTAGGGCATGGCCTGAGACCAATGGGTCTTATGCAAGACAACTTCAGCAAGCTGCATAATTTAAAACAAATAATGTGTTTTTTAAATCATATTTCTGGTACGAATGGACACAAAACATTGAACAAGTCAGAGGACAGACATTTTGAATAAATGACCACCCCAATAAAGTTTCACAAAAAAATTACCACAACTGTGCCAGCGGACGCACAAATCAATCACTTGTTAAAGGGAAAATACAACATTTGCAAACATCAAAAAATAAAACTACCGAATCATTTTCAAATACCTTGCTGGACTGTTAGTGAATGACAGTGTAAAGCATCCTGTAAAATCATGGCACCCGGTATACTGTCATTTTCAAGAAAAGTGGCATTTTTGTATCAATTTCCAACGCTGATCGGCCGATCAGCGGTGGAAAAAAACTGGCTTTTTTTCAAATACTGGCCCAGGTGACCATCACACTTGTTTGCAATCGATTACGCACCTATGAACGGGTACAAGCCAGCTAGACTGGTTCCCTGACCTTACAATTCCCCAATATAATGTAAACTGCTCCGTTTCTTCATAAAATGGAGTCAGGGAACCAGACTACAGGAAAATGATTGTTTTTCTTGGTTTTTATAGCATTTTCGAACCCAAAACCTCAAAAAAGTCAGCGTAACTATATTTGCTATATATTTTCCAACCTCCCCAATTCCATCCATTTCTGAAAATTACAGCAAAAGCAAATGATGTATATTCCCTTTAAACGTTTTTTACCTGTTGACCAAATCTTGATTGTAGGGAACCATGGTGGCAGGGATACTCGGTGGCGCATCGCACTCGGCGCCCTCACAGTTCATATCCTGCACAGGTTGACCCAGGTCAGCATAGACGATGACCCCAGTAGCGCTAGATTGCTCCATGGTAGCCACCTACAAATAAAAACAGTGCTGTGATGATACTGGGAAACAATACACACCTCTTTCTTTGCTAAAAAAAACTTCCTTTTTAGGGGGGAAGGGGAAGACTAAATTTATGGTTTCTAGGTTGTCGTGTTTGCATCTTGATTTCACATGCAAAATGCAAGTGTTGTTAGGATTTTTTTTAGGGCTGAGTAAAAGTTAGCATATGACATTCACCGTGATGACGTAAGGGCACTTCAATTTTCAAATGCAAGGTATTACAATTTTTTGCCATGTCTTTTTTTTTTTATAATTCGAGTTAGGCCAAAAAAAATAAATAAGTCGGTCTCTGGTCAGCGCGCGCGTCGATTTTAATCATGCGCGTCAACCTTTTTTTTCTTGAAATTGTCCGCGGTAGCTACAGCAGCACCCTCTATTGCCGCACCTCCTCAAATTTTTGTACCAAGGGATGGGGAAATTGCACCAAGGCAAATGATGGAGGGCACCAAGGCAAATTATGGAGGACCCCAATGTATATGAGGACACAACAAAAGCAAAATAGTACCCACCTTGTCTGTACAATCCAAGCTTAAAAAGAAAAAGAAAAAAGGCCCCCCCCAAAAAAAAACCGCGTCGCTGCATCAATTCTGGAACTTTGGTCTGACCAGAGACCAAATTTTTTTTTTTTTTGGCCTTGCCAATAAAAAAATATTGCCAAACCAACAAAAATTAATTTTGTTGGCCTCTATTTTGTATGTTTGTCACTTACATGTAACTTCAAAAGATCTGTGAGAAAAATCCATCCTAAATACTGCTACCTTATAAAATAACTGCACAGAGTTAATGGAGGACCCCCCCTTAAATGTAACACAAGTTGCCATAAAAACTGCCCCAAACCTTTTGAGAGAAACTGCATCCTCCTGCCGTTACAACAGCAATCTTCTTGGCGACACTACTGTCTGGTTTGCAGCCGTCTTGGGAGGCTGCCACCGGAATCGTCTGGTTGCCAAACTTGTCCGGGGAAGGCAACCAATCATATCTGGCGTCCAAACGTTTCAGCACAATCGGTACACCTGCTGGGAACGAATTAACGAGATTGATGATTGCCGAAAGACATTGGCATAATCATGCAGTAGTTTCACGTAGATTGATATTTTTGGGGCGATACAAAACCTCTTCACTGCTGAACGATGCGTGGAACAAAAATATCTGCCCAAATTTGTTTATTTAATTACTCTCCAAAATTAAAATTACTTAGTGGCCAGACAGTAGTTCAAGCATATACTGTTCAATGGGTATGTAAAGCAGCTAAAAAAACCCAACTTTTTGTAAGTGGGTAAAAGATGCCTGGAAAAGTAGTTTCTCAATACAATAGGGCCTAATTCATACAGATTGAAAATTCATTTGGAGAACAAAAAATTGAACTCTCTATAAAAGAGCACAGGCAGTCTTTACATATTATTTAAAAAAACAACACGAACATTATTATGTGACGAGATCCCATGAAATGAGTTAAAGAACATTTTTTTTACTTACACATGGTTTATCATGTGCAGTGGAAAGATTTTTTTTTTTACATTTTGACATCTCAAGGAAAGATGATATGGAGTAGGTGGAAAGTTTACTGTTCTCATCAATTTCTGGGATTTGTAAAAGCACTCAACCTTCGACTCATTTAGTTGGGTTACGGGTCACATTACAAAAGAGTGTCGCTGTAACAAACATCGCGATACCGAACATTTAACTATCGCAAATACTCACTATCAAAGTGATTATGTACGATCACCCAAGGCGGGTTGTTGGCGTAGCAACGAAATCACGCCGATGTAAACATGGCCACTACTCACAGTGGAGTTGTGTACATTTTGAGCGTTTTTGTGTTGTTTCATTAAGAAATTAGAAGAAAAAAATCTACAGGTTTGACCTTTATAATTATTTGCTGTTTGGAACATATGAAAGATACAAAACAAACAAAAACCTCACCAATTGGGTTAAGGGTGCCCACTGATTTGCCTAGGGTGGAATTCTGGAAGACGGCCTGTGGCAGGCCACACCCATGATCCTGACACGCCCACTGCTGCAATAGGGCGGGGATCCAATTGCCAAGTTGGTACAGTGACGTCGTCACAAAGTGAAACCCCGACAGCAAACTGCTGACGTCTTTCCTGCGGGACAGTGATCGAGCCCACGATCAATGGATTGATATGTGAAATATCAGTTTTGTTGTCTAGTACACCATCACATGTCCCTTTACAAGAAGCAGGGACAAACGATACAAAAAAGGAAATCTAGTCATAAGTAGCAGGAGATGGAATACCTTTGTCACAGTTCATTTGAATAGCTTGTGAATTAACTTTGTAATCAAGTCCCTGAAGATAATAGGTCATGCTTACTTAAATATTCATTAATATCTTACACGGTTTACCCATTCCTATTGGTCGAGAGCCCGTCACGTGGCCAGTTTTAAACAGTTGATAAAACACCGGCTGGCTGGTCTTAAACACTTAATCAGTGTCACATGAAATTTGGACTCCTATGAAATCTGGTCCCTTTTACCCTTTTATTGGTTGAACTCTCACAATCCTCACTTAGGCTCGCACAATACTACCGAGGCCGTATTTCATAGTCCTAATTTCACACTTCACAAGGCACAGCTGTGTTCTGCACCACATCGCAGTGCGCGACATCGCGCAGTGCGCGACACGACACAATCTAAGTAGTTGTTTACGACTACTCGCGAGAGGCACATACCATAACATAGCTAGAGTGGTGTTTCAAAACACATGAAGTAAAATTGTTGAACAAAATTGTTGGAAATACATAATTTTTGACTTGTTTTGACATTGACCGAAAAGGTATTTATGAATGAGAATAAATATGTGCTGAGGGGCCTGGTCGCCAATAATATCCCTCGCCTTTGGCTTGGGCTATTACCAGTGTCCATTCTTCCTGCCGGTGTCTTAAACGGACTTGTTTAAACCTCAAAACTGGCTGAGCAGATATTTATCCCCTTAATAATAAATGCAATTTAAAATTTCTCATGGACAGACAAAAACATGGCGAGTCTTACTTCAGTTTCCCCATTTTCTGCATCTTATTTGCGATCTGTCCTCTCATCCAAAGGGCGTCCTGCAACGGATCGTCGCTCGTCGGCAGAAACACAAAATGCGTGTTATTTGGACTGCCACTGACGAGCGACTGGAGGGAGTCCTCAGATGTCCACAAGCACTCCAAGAACGCCGAGTGATTGTCAAATGCATGGAAGATCATTGGCTTGTCGGCAAAAAGGGCACTGGGATACTCAACAATGCCGTTGAGGGTGAAGAGTTTGAACGGCTGGGCTGGTTGGTCGGGAAGAAGTACAGGGGTCTGGTTGTCAGTCTCTGTGGTGAAAGCACCGTAGACTTCGTGATGATGGGCAAGATTTTCCTGGCCGGTTTTTAATCGCTGTTGGAGCTGAGCCCAGGCCACGCTGACTGGCTGGCCATTCTGATTCTGTGGTGTATGTACTTGTTTCTTGTGGGCTGCTACCACGATGCACATACACAAAAGACAACACAAGCCAGAACTGACACTACGTCTCGTGCTAGCCATTGCAGACAACAAAACCTGCAAAAAGAACAAATCTCCAAAATAAATTAGGCCCCTATAGGTCTTTCTCTCAGTTGGCCATCTCTGTAGGAGAAATGCAACAGCATATTTTACGCAATCAAGCACGCATTGCGCAATTTTGAAAATGTTCCAAACACGCGTGCTTGTTGCTTGAAATGTGTTCGAAATACGACACAGCTAATGTGCGTTGTTACAACTGATTATGTAACCAACTGATAATGTATCACCAACCGATAATGTAATAGAAATTGACCGATAGTGTAGTAAATGTTACTACACTATCGGTCAATATTTGTTATTAGAAAGAACCAAAAATAATATCACGAAATTCAAGAACTTATTTCTGTATACAAACACTTTTTGGGGAAATACATAAATCTCTGCCGATTACTTCTGAAATCAGAAGGCTTCTCTCCGTCAGATGGAGAGAATAGAAGCCTTCTGATTTCAGAAGTACATGTATCTGCCGCCAATGGCTGATGAATGCCTTACGGTAGGGAACAGTCTGTTCAGAAGAAGAAAATTCTAACCCATATCCTGAATTTATTGCATAATTGTAGCTCTACAGAGATGTATCAAGTACTGTGAACTGTGATAGAAGATGATTTCACTGGATAAATCTCTTTGTATATACATGGAGGTACCTTCATGATTGTTATATAGATGTTTTGAAATCACACCAGGGCACTTAGAAGTAAGTAAGTAACACCAGGGAATCTTACCCCTTACATTTTTTTTATATTGAACAACACTGGGTCAGTTTGAATTTGAAGAAATTAGAATACGATTGAAAAATGAGAATTTCTTGACTGTCTCAGTGTCTGTCTACGTCTGCGCTTGTCTTTCTTACGGAAGCCTATGTACAGTAGGACATGACCGAAAATATTTTTTAGGCCCACTACTTTGCCCGGGCGGATTTATCCGCCCGGGCGAAATAGTAATCCGCCCGGGCGAAATAGTAATACTATTTCGCCCGGGAGGATTAGTATTTTGCCAGGGCGGATAAGCATTTCGCCCAGGCGGATTACTATTCCGCCCGGGCGGATTACTATTCCGCCCGTGCGGATTACTAATTCGCCCGGATAGACTCCTAATTCGCCAGGGCAGATTACTAATTCTCCCGGCCGGGCAGACTACTAATTCGCCCAAGCGAATTAGTAGTAATCCGTCTGGGCGAAATAGTATTTCGCCCGGGCGAATTAGTAATCCGCCCGGGCGAAATAGGAATTCAGGCCGGGCGACATAGTAATTTGCCCGGGCGAATTAGTAATCCGCCCGGGCGAAATAGTAATCCGCCCGGGCAAAATAGAGGGCCGGAAAATTTTTTTTTGGTAGTGTCCTAAATACACTTCCGTACTTTCTTATAGTATAATATCCCAACTGGAAAAAATCAACGAAAACTGTATGTCTAGGCCTACTCTTATCTTAAATATACACAGTATTTGAGACTGAGAGTCAAAAATTTTTGGACTACGCCAGCCGTATTAACGCAATTTTCAACTGCTAGTATTGTTACGGCATGTGGTAGCCCCATAAATGTGGCCCATTTACTGGACTACCTCCGTAAACATAGGCCACACGTCCACATGTACAAAAATCGTGTCGACTTTGCCAAATTTTGATTTTCACATTTAGGCTTAGTTTGTAGGATTTTTTTGCTTTAGAAGCATACTCACCCACTTTATAGGCTAGTCAGAAAGTGCTGCCTTTTTCAGATGTCTAATTTTTGTGAAATTTCATGTTGAAATTTTGATACGCAAACATGTAAAAATGAATCTGGAAATTTCACGAAAAATATACATCTGAAAAAGGCAGCACTTTCTGATTAGCCTATAAAGAGGTTGAGTATGCTTCTAAAGCCAAAAAAACCTACAAACTAAGCCTTAATGTGAAAATCAAAATTTGGCAAAGTCGACACGATTTTTGTACATGTGGATGTGTGGCATATGTTTACGGAGGCAGTCCAGTAAATAGGCCACATTTATGGGGCTAGGCATGCGGCATCCATTGCAAAAATACCAACGTGAATCTACATATCATTCAAGCGTCTTGTTCCCTGACCTAATACTAGTATTTCAACCTCAAAATCTTTGGCTGTTAACATGGTTAAGTTTGGAACCAGACTAGGGGGGCCTACGTACGAGTTGTCCCGGGTACGAGTCGTCTCGGGTACGAGTTGTCCCGGGTCACAAATTTGGGGTACGAGTTGTCCCGGGTACGAGTTGTCCCGATACCCGTACAACCTACTCCTAGAACGGGTGTCGGACGCTTCGCCCCATTTCCACGTCGCCCCATGTCACTTCGCCCCTAACCACTTCGCCCCATCCCAACTTCGCCCCATCCCCACATCGCCCCATCTCCGCTTCGCCCCATTCCCACTTCGCCCCATTCCCGCTTCGCCCCATCCCCACTTCGCCCCATCCCCACTTCGCCCCATGTAGTATGAAAAAGGTGAAGGCTAGGGTTGCAGACCAAATAAACTGCCAAAGACCCCAGATAATAAATGCTCCCAATTCTAGAAACTTAGGAAAAATACAAACTCTCTGATGAGGTGCTCGAGACACAGATGAGAGAAATGATGGCTCTATCCCATTCAGAGACGCGCCTCTCCTATTGGCTTGTGAATAAAATCATCAGCCGCTGGATTCAAAAGAATCCGTAGGTATGGGTCAGTGAGTTAAAAGGAACTCACTGCCTTGAGGAAAATGTTCCGTCAAAATTTGTCTGATATGTGACACTTACAACTTCATTTAGATGAGATTGGTTCCTCCAAGAGTGAAATTAGGATGTCAAAGGTATTGTCGTTCTCAGATAAGTGGGAGACGAGTTGGTATAGCCGGGTTGGGAACAAAGTTGGATCTTTTACTTCAAGCTTTTTTCTCGGTAGGGGAGAGCCTAGCTTGAGAGGTTGGTTATGAATTGTTCATTTGGTGATGGGCTAATTCTTTCCGTTGGTTAGCAATTAGTGAATCTGTTGAAATTGTTTTTAAGCCAAAAAAATAGATGAGATTTTTTTTTTACATGTAACGGCTGGGGCGAAGTGGGGATGGGGCGAAGTGGGGATGGGGCGAAGTGGGAATGGGGCGAAGTGGGAATGGGGCGAAGTGGGGATGGGGCGATGTGGGAATGGGGCGAAGTGGAGATGGGGCGAAGTGGTTAGGGGCGAAGTGACATGGGGCGACGTGGAAATGGGGCGAAGTGTCCGACATTCCCTAGAACTATGAGGCTCCACGTAGAGGAATAAGTACAACCGAACATGGTTTTTGCCTCTCACACCAAAGCGAGGCACTGATTATAAACAAGAAAATGAACCTACCGACGAACGACTGAATGCGCTTTTCAATCCCGTTATTTTTTTTGCAAAGAATTTAGGCCTAGGCCTAAAATAAAAGGGAAATGAACGAAATCATGCGAGGAAACACGGCACGGGAAAACAAGATGGCAGCGCCCGTGGATTATTTTTTTTCGCCAATAGCTCACGAGAGGGCGCTATAATTAAAATGGCGAAAGCTTAAAGGCGTATCGCATGCGATGCAGAGCATGCAGGCTGCAGAATAATTCCCACAGACCCCAATGACAAGATCCAAACAAAATAAATGAATTAAGATATAGAGAAACAAAATAAAATTTAATAGGGGCAAAATGCTTACGACTCTCACAGCTATTCAATACATACATCAACGATAAAGCTTTATAAGCTGTATTACCCTCTTTCAATTGTTTTTTTTTTTGGGGGGGGGCGGAGTACTTCCAATTCTTTTGGGGTCAACTCAATCACGCACGATAGCCCCAACCTCATGATCCATTAAAAACTCCACAGTTCATCCCAACCCTGACCATAAACAAATCATAATGCATAAAATTACTTGCATCTAACCCAATACATATCCTAACTGGCTAACATAACAACCCCACCACTCCCTTTCAATAAAATTATTAAAGCTGCGTTTATAGTAGAATTATTAAAGTATGGGCGAAAGTAGGCTAAATTATCACAAGTTATTACTTTATATAATTGATTTTTCCACTCCCTGAGGCAAACTTGTAACCATTTCATTCCCGAGCATATCGGAGAGTGTGATTAAACTTTTACAGTTCATCGTCAAGTATTATTCGAAAACCTAGCTGCAAAACTCAAAATCATATTTAGCCCAAACACTCTTCCTAAAAGTTGTCGGTATTCAGGTCAGTGCACGAGAGTTTAAGAATCAACAAAATCCTTGAAACCCACAGTATAATGGGTTTTTTTCAGAATAAGCTTTCTTTTCTGATGGATCTGTGCATAGGCCTATATGGTAAGATCCATTAATTTGAAATTTACATTGAATATCGAAACTCAACAAAAAGATATAAATATATTCATGTACAGGCTAGGCACAGATAAATCATCACAATGTGTACATTCACACAACGATGAACGATAAAAATCAGAACAATTGAGAACCACACATTTCTTAACACCATAGCGTTAATCGTACCTACGGATTCCACCTCATCATCCTCTATATACATGCAGTATCGTTAAAAATATCATTATGTTATTATTTTTGTAACAAGACTTCAGCTCAAGAGAGTTATGAAGTACACCAATTGAATAGCTATATGGCTACTCAAATAAAACTATAGAAATTATCATTTTACTGAGAAATGCCAGCTGAGATATTGATTTAGGCCTATATTTCCTTGTTTCCGCTTGCTACAAGGTCAGTTGCGGAAAACCCAAATCCGGTGATCCATTATGAAACAGAAAGTTAATTCATACACGACCGCGTGAACATTTACATTGAAGAGGAACAGACTTTATGATTATGCATGTACATGCACTAATGTCATATCATGTAGCACCAAGTGCATAGACAATGTGGATGTTTTACACAAAATTGTAAAACTCACTCAAGCTTCAGTAAATCAGTTTGACTGATTGTTTTTGATTTGTTCATTTGATCTTGAGACACTTCTCCCGAGAAGAATAAGATGGTAGTGCTCATCTTCAACAAACCCTCGGCTTTCTGGGCCGTTTGGAAACGTGTGTTTTTGGTTGTACTCGTTCTGTCCGAGATTGCTTTTATTGCCGCTGAAATGTCAGCGAGGGATACCTCTTTCTGGACCGTAAACATGCGAAGACGACGAGCTGCACCCGAATGGGCCTTAGCGGTAGTACAAAACTTCTGCCCGTGGTGAGTACGCGTACGCCATGCCGAACAATTATTTTGATGCCAAATAAATGCACATAATCAATTATTTCACAGTGTCAAAAGGCCACGTTACGTTTTCTTACATTTTTTGGGGGACAAATTGCTTTATAAGGAGTGTGAAATATGCTGACGGCGAGTTTAAATGCTCGCGACGCAGATTTCAACACCGATTTCCTAGCATCTTTTTCAATTTGGACGATATTGATATTTGATAATGAAAATTCCCTAGAAATAGTTCCTCTTTGCCGTTTACTGAAATTTTACAGCATTTTCAAAAATTTCCGTAAAACAAAATGCACTCGCATGGCATCGTCAGCATCAGGTGGTCAAAAATCCATTCCTTTCAAATGCGTAGAATTTGAAAAAGGTCGAGGTTTTAGTGGAGTTTAGCTCGGGTGTTATAAAGATCATAATGTGACGCATAAGGAGAGGAGGATTCTGTTTGAAGACTGATATATTTAGGGGGGAAAACAAGCTGCGTCTTTGTTCTACTTTTAAATTTTGCTTGTAAACTAGGAAAGATGAGATTTTATTTCACGGGCTGCAATCGTAACCGTTTTGAAAAACAAAACAACATTTCTAGAAAAAAACGCGTCAGTAAAAGACGAATGAATATTAAAGCATGATATTTTTAATTATATTTAATTATATGCAATAAGGCTCGCTTTTGTCTAGACCCGTAAACGTGGCTATAGACATAGCCACACTTTCCGTTCATAATCTCTGGATTTTCGACGTGTTCAAAATCCCGGTTGGAGACGTTCCACTTTAACACAGTCCCGAAATTTAACGAACACTGTAGGTTCAGTACTTAAACATAAAGAGTTTTTCCAAGAACTTACAATGGCACTATAGGATCTGTCATTCCAGAGAAATTCGAGGGGAAAACGAGCCCATAATCAACACGAATGTAAGAAATCTAGTTCAGAGATAATCGGAGCGTTGCTTACACCACGTTTTCGGGTCTGCAGTAAGCTGTATTTAAATTACAGCTCTGTGGTTTCATATTATTTACTTGCCTTTCGGGAGCAATCACCGATCTTCATGTTGATCGGTGGGCACAACGGGCTCCGTGAACAAGTACACCCTCAATGGTAACAAAGGGAGAGTTGGGAGAGACCAATAGGAGAGACATATCATATTTAGAACGTATTGCTATGCTACGACGCCTGGCGCCTTTCTATTTGCGCGATTTTAGGAATCCGTTAGCGCAAAATGTTGTTCGTAAGCGCAGAATTCTGTGGTTAGCAAGAACATCAATAGTCTGGTTCCCGGACCAAACGATTCCGACTATTTCTTGTGAATCTTAGGTCAGTTATGGCCACGGCACGTGACCAAAACGGGAGGAATGCCTCCCGTTTCCGAAAATGTCCGAAGTTTGCCGAATGCATTTCGTTGACAATCTCGGATAGTGCCCGGGTATATTTCCGGCTATAAAATAGGTTTTATTTACCCTGTCAAGGCTATTACAAATTTGAAATGAGTTGATAAGTAATATAAGTTATCAAAGGCTCAATATCCAAGCCTCACTTTCACGTTTTTTTTCATGTGGCTTAAAACATTATCGTGCAATTAATCACACATTTTGATTTATTCAAACTGGTATAAATTTGTAATTTACTTTTTTGTATTACTTTCATTTCTATTCGCGTTCCGAAATGTAAATTTTACCTCGCTTTCAGTTTAATATGGCCGATTTGTGAAAGCCTATATGCAGTTATAATTTACTTACGATATGGCATCGTATGAGAGGGGTCCATTTATATATTTTTTTCACAACCTCGTTTCCATGGGTACAATCTTGCTGCGCCGTCTTGGTTCCCATCATGCCTTGCCCATGGAGTCGAGGCTGAATTTTTCATTACTTAATGGAGGGAACCAACATGGCGCAGCAAGATCGTACCCATGGGAACGAGGTTGGTCCGTACGTGTATGCGTTCTACGCGCGCATTGGCAGAACACATTCCGAGAGCACCACCTTTTTTCTTTCTTTCCATAAGAACAACACCCTTTTGCTGCTTCCAGTTCCTTGGGCGTGGTTGATGTTGAAATGACATAAGGCGAAGTAAAAAAACAAAAAATGTTTCTCGTCCACGCCCGCTTCCTTTTTGGAGGCCGCCTGGATTTTTTAAATATTTTTTATTTTTGAAAAATGCAGTAAAAAAACACACCGAAAAAGTACACAAATTCAACGGAAAATAAATTGTAGACCAATACAAGTCTAAATGACACTGTAAATATGTTCAGTTCTCTTGTCCAACTTATCTTTCATTCTAAAAGTGTCTTTGAACAGTGGAAACACCAATGGTTGCAGGAAATGTTCAAATGGCTGCCATCTTGAAACAAATAAAAAATAATAATAAAAAAAGCCCCGCTTCCTCCTTTTTTTCAAAAACCCGGACGAGAAACATGTTTTTTTTTTATTCGGCCTTACATTACGATTTTTTTTATAAGTGTAGATAAGAAGACGGCTCTATAAATGAAGAAAAACATGTCAACCTTTTCAGCAGTCCTTTTAATCACATTGTTCAGGGCCGAGTGCAGGGGCTACTTCGGTTGTAATCCAGGAAACCTGTGTAGAGTAGCTCCAGCAAGATTTACAGGTACACAGTCACATCACCCTAATTGACAACTTTGTACACTTGTTCTTGACTGAGCATTTCTTTTTGTCAAAAAATACAATAATTGTGCATTATATAAATGATTTCTAATGATGATATGAAAGGAAGATTCTTATACAAAGGCTTCATGACAAGTCACAGACGCGAAATACCAGTGAAGGGACAATGTCGGAGGATTGGGGAAAGAAAATATCCCCCCCCCCCCAAAAAAAAAATGGTCCGTATTTGCATATAAACTGAGGTGCAAACGACGTAGGCCTACGTGCCACTTTCAAACCAATAACGTGAATGCAAAAAGAAATTAGACAATTTTACCTGTTTACAGGAAAACGCAATAAAATCGAAGAGTTATTTAAGAGAAGAGATTCAAGTAAATATTCAAGTAACTCGGCATTTAGTTCTATAAAAAGGCCATAAAAAAAGTCAGATTAGTCGAAGGCATTTAGATAGACAACCATGTCTTATTTGATTTCTCGTTTGTCACAATCGGTACAACCAGATCGCGGTCGTCGAGATAACCCATCCCGCAGATGTTTTTCGTACAAACCAGGGAACTGTGACGAGGCCCCACGGGAGGACGACTGTGCTTGTATTACTGATGACGGCATAATACAAATAGGTTATGGACCCCGGGGCAAGGGCGAAGGCAAACCACCTGATGCTCCCATCGGCGATTTCTGTTCTTCGTACTCAACGTACAATGGGTGAGTTTTGTATTCTTAGCCTTTTATGAGTGAATAATTATTTGCCGACACGTCCACCGATTTTGATTAAAAACAAAATAATCAAATAACACCTTGAAACATCAAAACAAGAATTTTGGTCTGTTTTGGAAAAAGGCGGTTATCAACATTAAAAGTATCTTACCCGACCCCGGGTTGTTTTTGCTCTCTCTGATAAAGAAAGAAACTCGCCAATAATTGTATTCAAATATTGTGTAGTTATTTCACCAGACCCGTTTCATTATTTCGATGTGAGGTGAACATTGCCCGCAGAGTGCCAGAAATAATCGCGCAAAATAGTGATTCAACAAGCAACTTTTTCTCAGCCGCATGTGTACCAATTTCAATAGGGGGCGCTGTTCAAATTAGACGATTATTAACACTCATTACAGACTGGTGTAGCGTATTTTGAACAGGCGGACATTAGACCAGTATAATTTTTGGGGGGTGTCACAGCAGGGGGGGGGGGGGGGTTGACTTATTCTTTAGGAATTTGTATGAGAATTTTTTTGGGGGCAGAGCTGGGGGGGGGGTTGACCCCCCCTCCCCCTCTGGATCCGCGCCTGAAAAACCTGAAACATCATTGAAGTTGAAGTCGTTATCCCTGAACGCCAAAGTGGTTAAAAAGATGTCATACATCATTGATATATTTTCAGCAGCCATGATGGAAGTTTTGTAACAAAGGAACAACATTCGAGAAATGCCAGTTCAAATTTGTGACCTATTGTGGCCAAAAATCTCCATCTCCCGAAACCTTGTTTTGAGTAATCAGCGCCTGAAGTTGGAGATATTTTTGAAAAAAAAAGGGAAATGCTCTTTTTTTGGTGGGACATTTTTTTATTTAGTCATTTTCAATGTCCTGTATAAAAATCCTTCAATTTCAGTTTGGTGTCTTTCACTCAACGCCCGTGTCCAACAACCGCACCCACAATAACCACCTCGATCCCACTGTCCTCGCCCTCGTCAGATGTAACATCAACCACAGCCCGGGTCGATGGGACGGGGGACGCGGTAATGTCCACACCCGTCAGGAATCCAAGTTAGTAGCATTCATAATTATTCAACCGGTTTGGAGTTACGCGGTATACTTTCCACGCCTTGTATTCTGCGATTCACGTTTCAATATCAACACAGGGGCCAATTTCATGGAACTGCTAAGCACAAAAATTTGCTTTGCACAAAAACGTCTGGCTTAGTAAAAGCAGGTTACCAGCCAAAACTCCGTGTGATTTTCATGCTAAGCAAACAACAGCTGAATACCAATCACCAGCAATATACATCACAATGGACATTTAGTTGGTAATCCTGTTTTTGCCAAGGAAGACTTTTCATTGCTAAGCAAATTTTTGTATTTAGCAGCTCCATGAAATTGACCCCAGGTTAATAAACATTTATGTGGATGGGTTTAACCCATACCCACATAACTTACATGGAATCCGGCATCAGATACCATAATATAGGTATCTGATGCTGGATTCCATGAATTTCCATGAATTTCCACGAAATTTCATACCGGAATTTTTCTCCCATTAAAAAAAAAATGATTTACGAGTCTTTTACAAGTCATCATCCTATATAAGCCTTATTACCGTGTGTTGACCTTTTGCTTTTACTCTTACTACTAGTCAACCTGGAGACAATTAACATTGATTATCACATTAATCAAATGGATTTTGAATGCATTTTGACACGTCAGATGTCTACACATCTCTGCAACTAACGACGCAGGAATCGTCAGTGGCAGTGACGGATGGAAATGAAGTCTATTCCTCGCCTACACACGATCCAACCGATGAGGGCGCACCAAAGATAAACGTTATAACCTGGCTGCTGCCTGCACTTGCTGCTGGACTGGTAATAATTATCGCATTGGTGGCGCTGCTTATGTACATCAGACGAAGACGAAACTTGCGAAGATCCCATCAATTGGATTGTCTGTCACACAGTCGGTATGAAACTATAGATCCTCGGTTTTTTAAAATTTATTTTAATAGGGCCTAGTCGTTTTGTTCGAGGTCGGTCCATTTAATCAGTCTTTTATAGCGGCAGCTTGTCAGTTAATGATACAAAGTTACTTGATTTTTCAATTTCTCCACTTCGTAGGTTTATATTTCTTTTCATTTTAAAGTCCTATGTTGTCACATTTTCTTGACAGATCTGATAAAGTGAACAGTCGTGTACTTTTCTCTGCCTCTCCAGCCAACATCTCGCAAGGTAACTAAATATTTTGTCGTGACATTTTGTTCGAGAAAACAATTGTATAGGAGTTAACGACACTTGTTTTGTTTCTTTCAAACGCTAGAGACTTGAATCTGACTCTTAGACTGGCAACTGTCTCTAACATTTTACCCTGGTTGGGCACACAAGTATATACACAGATGTGTGTGTGTCAATATTTAAGGATGACTCGACTGAAAAAGGGGAAAAAGATATCTGAGAGTAGCGAACAATTTTTTTTTTCTAAGACAGTTCGGACTTCTGCAGGTATGCCGGAAGTCGACACATTGATGAAGTTCAACTTATCCTGTCATTATTACAGGAGGGATGAACGATGAGGGTGATGACGTCATGCCGTCAGGTGCCCAGCGGATACCGTTGCTCACCTCCTCTGCTAACGGTACCAATCTAGACGACGGTCACGAACGACCAAGAGAAGTCGCAATGAGGCGGCGATCAGATGCTGCGGAATCGACCGACAGTATTGAGTCTAGGAACCGCGCGAGTCAACCGTCATTACGTGATTACGAAGAGGTTCCTGACCGCAATAGTTCAGGGCTATCATCAAATTACATTTATGATTACGCCGCAATTGACAACTTACCTGTAAGCACAGGAGTTAATTTGGGATCCCACAACAAATCCCCTCCAAATCAAAGCAACCATGAACCCCCAATGGTGCACCCCGCCCCACCTGCTACTGACCCAGGTAGACCCGATTCTAAATACGATGACGTTGTTGTTGGAAATAATTCCGATCAGCTCGTTGTTGATGTAGAGCAAGATCGGGCTTATGTGAACCAAAAGGTCTTTGCAAAGCGTCGTTTGGGTAAAGATAAGCAAGCTCCAAAACGGAGCGTTGCTGGAACGAATTATCCACCATCTGACCGGAGCCAGCAACCTGTGCGTTCGTTCATAACTGCCAGAGATCCCCCAGTCCCTACCGATGATGCCTACGCCTATGTAGAGATCCCCTTTAATACCATTCCTAGTCCCTGTGACTCCCCACCAGCGTGTGCCGAGGGCGCAGTACCGACACAAAGCCCGCTGTGTGACGGGGGCTATCAGGCTTTGAATCCGGCCGGGCTTGAGGGAGAAAATAAGTATACACCCCTGATTCTTGAAAAAGAATGACCCATGACCCATTCCTTAACACCACGTTGGCTTAATAAAAGGCTGAGGGTTGGGAACGATCATGGGGTTTTCATGGTTGCTCTTGTTTTCAATTTTCACTTGAAGGAAAACCAGATTGCAAGTCGGGAATTGGTGACAAACAAGACATAGCTCTTGGGTGTAATTTAGGTTATTGTATACACAAAGCTTGCACGACTGGGTTTCATTGAAGATCATCAATAACAAAGGTATTAAAGACGTTAAAGAATACTTAAGGAGTGTTAAGATTCCTGAAACTGTATCAATAGTTATTTCAAAATTGAAGTTCGTGGAACAAGCTGGCTATTTTGAGAGAGAAAATTCTGAATCGGAGTACGTTTCCCGAGAACTCTCAGACTACCGTGGCAATTCGTGATAGAGTCGCACTGAGCACAACATTTATTTTAGCGGGTTATACGCTGATTTCGAAAGAAAAGGTTAGTGTATTAAGAGCAAGATAAAAGCTTTTGGAGCAGCTCTCCAACAAGATTAAATATTGTAGGAGACAGACTGTGTAGAATAACATTAATAAATGTAATGCCTATGAAATTGTATTACTACTAACAAAATGGTATCAGATTTAAAACAAAAAGAAGTAAATTACTGTTCTTAATATATAATTTCCAGAGAGTTGAACATCCAATATAACGTCCTTTTCAAAGCAATGGGATTATGATTTTTCTTTAACTATTGCTTTCCCCGTGCTTATCAACAAGTTCATTTTTTTTCAACTTGTATGTTTCATTTAAACCCCAAACCCTCATTTTCTCCTTTTTTTCCTGTCCTCAACCCTCCAAAAAAAGTTTTTTTTTATTTTGGGCATAAACAGATCTCACAAGCGAGCAGACTGGCTCTCGGTCCGACATTATCGATACTGATTGTGGGGCGGGAACCATCCCATCTCGCGAGAACGGAGTTATTGCTGGACCGCTAGTAATTTGAAATCCGCAAAGTAATTATGCAATAACTAGACGCGGGTCGTTTTTTCTCGGGCGATTTCCATTCAAAAGTGAAACAAACTTATGTATTGCCAGAAATAAATAATTTCGAAAAGGATTTTATTTTGTGATGAAACCCGTATTTTTAGCTCGGGAAATGAAAATTTAACTTTCGATTCATTCGTGTCTTGTTTCTTCCATTAAATGCACCGATTGTTCAAGTTTGCTTTCAGAAACCTGGGAATGGAGACATAAAAAAATAACACACTGGTAAATGCTGTAAATAGTAAATTACTGATTAATGAATGTTTTGTCACCATTTTTTTGGCTGTAATTTTGCACTTAAATGACAAATTTTTATCAACGTAGGCCTATACCAAGCCAAAATAATTCTTTAAACTTTAATGCGTTAAGTTATATTGTGAATGTGTGTATAAGCATATTGAATTTCAGTCTGGTTTATTGATGTTGAACAACATTGACAGGCTGGCAGGTTATTGTGATGGACGTCAACGATCATAAAAATCAGACGTATTAAAACTGTGCTGGTAATGGTGGTGAAAGTGGAGGTCAGCGTGGTGATAGTGCAGTGGTGATGATAACAATATATATGAACCTGTGTTAATAAATAACATTATATTGCAGCTTAGTCAATACTTCATATCATATTTTATAGTCATTGATTGAAAGCTTATCAGTCTATTAGTGCATGTATATTCAAATTATTGAGTAATGTTTATTTTAGATAATGTGATTTGTGAAGCTGGCAAGCTCAGAAATTGTCCTCGCAATCGCACAAAGTGTGCTTGGTAAAACAGCTACTCAAATCACTCACATAATAACTATACATTGCTTATGACTTGTTCTCAGTTGAACTTTCACTATAGCTGATTTGCTAACGATATCTCCTGCTTGTTTAACATTTCTAGGAGGTATACCTCCTATAGAACCCTTTCTAGAAAGGTTTGTTTTGCTGATAAAAGACAAGAAAAAGCCTTGATTTATCATGTAAATATAATAGCTTCCTCGTTTGCCCGATTAGAAACCTAATTGTAGTTTTGTTTTATCTTCACACAGAACTAATATTAGTCTTTACAAAAGAGCTGACAAGTTTAAGTTGATAAAACCTGAATAAAGGAAGTGTTTCCATTATTATAGCGGTATCGTGCAAATCGCCATTAGGTTCTGTCCGTTCCGATTCTGTTTTTTTTTTCGTTTTAAAAATTTAATTTCGAGGTTCTTCGTATATGAGTAGATCACACTTTTGTCAAAGGTCAAACATGGAACAAAATTTACAAATTTGTGTCAATTCAGTGTATCGCTTTGACAAGACCTTCACCAAAATATGTACAGGAAACTTCGCGTATTGTGGGTATCACACCGCCATGATTAATGTCTGTAGGCCCCACATGCGGTACATCCACGGTTGTAAAGTTAGCGGGCCTGGATCTTTCCGTGGCCCATCTTTATTTTTGGGAACAGGTCGGCTTACATAATGTATTTCGCGAGAAACAAGGAAACTCTCACTGAAAAGGGTTGAATAATTATTGACACCCTGTCAGCATTGATCTTCACATAGGAGGCCCCCCTCATAAACATGAGTCAGAAAACAGACAAACAAACACATTATTTGAGCTTGAAGAGAGCGACAACTTGTACAGTTTCCCAAGACCGAAAATAAACCGGCGAACCTTATAAAATCTAAATGTTTCAACTCCCCCCCCCCGACGAGATCACTTGCGTTCTCTCATGAATGCGGGTACATTAAAATGAGAGCATATAAAAATGAACTGAACTGCTAAAAACTGCTTACTGACAGGATTGATAAATGTAATAAAGAAACAAAACAATAATACTGATAAGAGTGTATGAGGTTTTGGTCTTAACAAAAGCCTTTTTTTTGCCTTTAAAGAAGGTCTTGTTAAGACCGGAACGTCGGGCCCTCAGAACATTTGAAAATTAGACATCCCCTAAGACTATATCTACCGTTAATTATTATACGAACAGACTCCACCTCATCATCAACCACTATCAGTGTCGTAACAAAAAGCAAATCATATTGTTCATGTAAAAAAAACACTTCTGCTTGACAGTTAGATTACATGTAGACAGCTAGATTACATGTAGCAACAATATGCTGTTATACGGACTAGAAATCATTATTCACGCAGCCTGGGATTTTAGCTCAATTATTGGTTACATATTTCCTTGAATACGTCTCAGGAAATCTGCGGAAACCAAAAATCCGGTATGGTATTTACATTACTATATCATATTTTGTCCGTTTCTTGGAAGGCCAGGAACAACGTAAAACTCGCGGTTTTGATAGGAATCATTGTAAGCCTAACCCCAAGTTTATTTTTCAGTTCATGAATAAAGCTTATTCTTTAGTTCATGAGCACTCGCTCTCTCTGATAGAAACGACAAATGTTGGATGATCAACTGACAACTGTCTAATATCCTCGTCATTGGAAGTCATTCACGGTTTGAAGATGCCTTCTATGAACAATCTTGAGTTTACTGTGATCGTTTGCGTACAGCTGGTTCTGATATGCGTCCATCTGTACTCGTTACCGGTCATGTGCCAGGAAAGCTACGGTGGAGTCAGACAACGACGAACCGCGCAAGGGTAGGTTGGATGTTCAAGACCGAATACATTAGTAACTGCCTCATTTTTGGTGTTTTATTTCTTCAAAACATTATACAGGGTGAGTAAAAAAAAACCCGAAACCCAAATGTCGTGTGTTCTTTCAGCAAAACGAAAACAAATCACATGAGGATGTATGTGAATTGTTCTCGTTTTCCTGAAAGAACGCACATCTTTTTTTGTGATCCGTGGATAGAACTTTAAAACGGTGGTTGTGTTTAAAATTCTGTTACTTGAAAAGTACATGACTGATATTTGAATGACTCTTGTACTAAAATAAAGCTTATGAATTGGGCTTTCATATCCTAGACTTTGCAAGTGCTACATGCAGAACCTCACTAAAACAATAGTCCCGACATTTGGGTTTCGTTGTTTTACTCACCCTGTATATGACTAGCTCATGCAAGAATAATCGTATTTAAGGCCATACTTTAGTTTTAATATCTTCCCCTGTCAGTGTTAAGTACTGCGTTTTGCTAGATTGAGTGAAGTTTTGTAACTATGTGTTTCTAAGGTCGGGACGTGCTGCGACTTGTGAATGTGGAAGCGAGTCTGCAACCTTGACGTGTTCTGATGAGCCAACAGGTAACAAAATGGTTTATTTACATTAAACAACACCTATTATAACTTTTGTTGTCTTGAAAAGCGTCATTGTCTGTATCTTTACAGCATCTGAAGTTATAATTGAACGCCTTGGGAGGCTTTCTAATTATGCAGACCGTTAAACAAGATAATGGTCACTAATCAGGACATGTAGGACACCACTTTCACTTACGAGTTCAGGATGAGAGCCAAAAATTAGACAGATATAGTTGTTTGAGTGAATTCAGTAACGCGGGTATAGGATCATGTACAAGTTGCGTCATTTCCAACAGATTAAAACACGAAGTTATGGGGTTTGAGGAAGTACCATTATCGCCCTCGGACACATCACAATAAAGTCGCCAGCTACGATGTCTGTACAGTCACATGAGGCTGTATCTATAATATCACTTAGTTTATCTATAAACTCATCAGAATTTAAACTTGTAATCATAGTGTTAATAGAGCTTATAATCACATGCTGTCTTTGCTTAAATTTGAGTTCAACCCATAAGCACTCCATAAACATACTACATTTTCCTCAAAGTGACATATCGTATATGAATTATGGAAATCGACTGCATGTTGAATGTTGGAGTATAATGTATAGTGGCCGGAGAACCAACCAGGAAAAACGCATTTGTTTTGGATTCAAATATCGTGTACATTCAGGCATTTTGTTTTGATAAATCAGGCGAAGTAAACTGTCTGTTATCGTCCAATCATCAATTACGATTAATAATATGAAGGATTTCGAACCTTTATTTTGAAGGCATTTATATCGTTCATACTACCATGAAATGACAGAAGAACAACCAGAGCGCAACGTATAAGTGCAAGGTAAAAGTTCATTTAAGTCCTAAAAGTTGCATCTTATTATGCGGGATCTGTCGTCGCCCCCGATTTTCCTAGTAAAATTTACTTACACAATTTTTGGATGCTTTCAGATTGTGATGATGGCGAGGTGTCACACGGAGGTTCCTGCTACAGAATCATCCGCGATGACCTCAAGTCACGTGATGATGCCCATAGGGATTGCATTGCGCGTAATAGCCACCTAGTCTACATCGAGTCAGAGGAGGAACAAACATTCCTGTCGAATCACTCAGAATCTCTCGTCGGAAATGGTAGCAGAAAAAATGACGATGTCATGAATCATTACTGGATTGGACTGATCCCAACAAGCAGCAACGTGTGGCTGGATGGTAACCAGACACGCAACGATCTGTTTGAATACTCTGACGGCAGTGCAGCTGGATGTTTCTCTCTCTCTAAATCCAACGGGAATTTACGTTTGAGTGGGGAGAACTGTGATGTGGATCGCCAGTTCATCTGTGAATTTCCATATACATGTACTAGTAAGTTCTTTAAAGCATTTACCAAACTTCAAACGTACATGTATAGCAAACAATTTGTTTTCAGTTCCTTTGAAATCCTCGGGCGTATTTATTCTCAGACAACACACACAAGTACACACTGAAGAAATGATTTGACCTTTGGCATAGTTTCTTTAGCCGCTAGTTTAACTTCAAGTTGATTAAATGGCCCTTAATACCTCGACAAACTATAATGGAACAATTTTTTTTCTATTTGCCTTAACATTTTGGCGCGCTTGCCGGCAAAACAAGTGGCACGCTTGCCCCAAATCCTTGCATTGCATGCTTGGCATCACTGGGCCCAAAATTCCTTGGCTCGCTTGCCAACCATTCACCGTGTACTTTATATCTACCGTTCGGAGTTAATGCGGTTGAATACCAACCCCACCAGAATAAGTGGGTGCTAGCCACAGTGTTTACATTTTTTTCACGTGATTTTAATGGTTACATGTATATGCCTAAATTAGTAAATTACTTAACAATAAATAGTTAGGAAAAGCACGCCGTTTTATCCACCGTTTGTAAATACGGTTGGGAAGTTGTTAGTTTTAGTGTTGTCCGAGGGCTTGCGGAAAAAACACACACAAAAAAAACCACAAGCTTAAGCGGCCGAGTTGAACTCGAACCCACCTCCTGTTTACGTGTTTCGTACGGATTCGGGAGACTTATTTGTGGAAAAAATATTCTGAACGAAAATCCTTTTTCGCTCGTACCCCCGCCCTGCAAACAGGGCGCTGGGAAGGGCAGATGAGCTTCACAGAATCTTGTGAAGGAAGTGGGGATGGCATCCTGGGTAATTTAACATGACCTATGTATAAAGCATCTGGCTGCAGCTGTAGACCGCGGTTAGCCAATGCGCGCAAATACTATCTGAAAAGTTTGCCACAGAAATGCATACACACTATACCGGATGTGATTTCTTTTTCATTGCGACCATGTGGACACATTTTGAGCGTCTAATGATATGCATTTTCGGGGCCCTTCGTGAATTCGAAACGGAGCCTGAGCAACTGACGGGAGTTGAAAATTTACAAAACAGATAAGTTTCACAGATTTTCCTACATTAGTATACTTTTCAACAAAAAAAGGGCGCCGCATTTATGAATGGGAATAAAAGAGTAATGTGTCTTAACGGCCGTTTCAAACCGTGCAGGGTCGTGGCCGTGATGACTTGCAAGTCACAGGTTACTCTCCAGATTCTGATTTTCACAAAACATTATTTTCATAAAACGTACACTTGGAGGCACTGAACCATTACAATAACGTTATGAGGTTAAATCAAGTTAATGGTTCACATTTTCTTTGAAATACTATCGCGGTCCGTCCGGTGCGGTCAGACTATAGTCGATAATGCGCATGCTGTGAAATATTTCGAACCAAGTATAGTCAGGAAGTAAAAAAGAATTATTCGTTACTAATTGTTTTCTAGGCCCTCTTGAACAATACTTCAACCACGACGGTTCCTGTTACTGGGTCGGTGGTCCTATGAAGTCACACCTCTCGGCCCGAGGAGATTGCAGTGATAAGGGTGGTCATCTGCTATACATCGAATCACAAGACGAATTGCGATTCATTAACAGTAGTGTTATAAGTGAAGACGGAGTAGGATACTGGATAGGTCTGGCTACTCAGTACGCTTGGTTGGACGGTAGCCGAGCCATCTATCAAGGAATCGTACAGACAGATGCAAGCAACAATGGTGGCAGCCTTTGCTTCAGATTACGTGCCGAAAACGACTTTCTGTGGAATGATATTGGGTGCAATACAAACTACGCCTACATATGTGAGCGAGAACTACCTGTAATTTCTTCCCAAGAAATTCAAGAAAACCCAGGTTGGTTTGTTTCGCAATGTTACACTGAGCCCTGTCCTTAGTCCATGCAGATATCGCTTGTAATAATCCAATAAACCACTACATAGGAACAATTACTAAGTTCACTTTTACAGTTTGAACGAATAGGTGGAATCAATAAAGTGACTGAAGGCCGAAGGAACTTAAACCTGCGATACAGGCCTTGATTGAAGAATGTCATCAACTAGTCTGGTCCTCCTTGATAGTCATTGTTCCTTCGTAATTTTAGTCATTGTTCTTTTTTAATTTTTTCTTTTGTCCAACGTTGAAAAATGGTCTAATTCAGAATTTCTTTATTTTTTGCTACCCTGTGCAACCTCTTTTGCCATTGGACGCACTGGATCCACCAAATAACTGTATATACTTATCGTCATCTTAAGCCGTAGGTCTTTAACAGTTCTGTTTCTTGACATACACTCATCAGAAGTTCCATGCAGACCACCCGTCGCTGATCTCAGTCGTCTTCTTGACTCCGTACCTCTGTGCGTCCGTAGTGACAGCCACTACTTCAACAACTCCGTTCTGTGTCAATGTGATGACGACGAAACTTGCATCAGTGGCTGTGGCTGTGCACGTGACAACACTATGGCCGGGTGAGCTAGAACCAGAAAAGACAAAAATGCATTATACAATGTAGTTCGAATTCGCCTAAAACATAAGCCATTTACAGTCACTGTAAAGGTGAGGATTCAGGGGAGTCTTTGAAGGAACAAAGGGCACTCAGATACGAGAAACAGATCACATACCGTACCTCCACCAACCTATACGACCAGTGGCTCCACCCATTCATCATATTTTATTATACTTATGTTTTTCTTCATGTAGGCTTGGGACAATACGATGCAGCTGTGGCTTCTGTAGTTTCACCTTTGCCGAGTCTGAAGACTTGATCATTAACCGTGAGCACATTTCAAATTTACTTTCCTTTCAATGGCATGTTGACATGAGAACGCCGTCCTGGCATGATTGGTTGATGTTCAGTACCAAGCCTTGCCACTCCAAAGGCCAATCCCACAGACTTGGGGATATAAAACTATCCCCCACTTCTCCAGGACGGTCTTGGTATGTGAATCATAGATCTTCGACAGTTGGATTATGTTATGGGATTACTATTGGTCTTATCATTTATATTTATTTTTGGCTCTAAAGTTTGTCTACGGAGACATGCAAATTTCATCATTATGATAAATTTTTCTCCTTAATTCAACTTTTTGTTAAGCCATGGTGTGGCCATCCAATTTTAGCTGCAGCTGCTCTGTAAACGGAGCTTCATCCAATGTGACCGTCGTCAATGGCGAATTCACCTGTATGCCAGATGACTCGGAGTCTATGACAACACCGGGTGGTTTAGGTCAAAGGTCGACTGAGAACAGAGCCATAGGGATACCAGCGACTACTGACAAGCCAATGACAACGGTAGGATCAGGAGAGGGAGGAAACCCTATTGGTATCCCTGTTGGAGTGACCCTGGCCTTATTAATCCTCTTGGTGGCGCTTGTAGTTGGGATCATCTGGTGGAAGAGACACCCTCGGGGAACAGCCTCAAGGTAATGTTCTTACACAATGCTTCTTTCAAACCAGTCCGAACCGATGCAGTTGGTTTGCAATTTTCCGTCCTCACCAATCAGTGTTTGAATATATTCAATTGACATCCCCAAAAATGTAGGTTTGACTGTTTTGATACAATGATAAACATGTATTTATATCAAAACCATTCAGCAAGATTCATCAACTTTACTTTGCTAAATAAAAGCGCACACATATCAGTGGAGCATCGCCAGACTACAGGTAGTTCGTATACTGCAAAGTTGGACATATTTTCTGAATGGATTTGTCTTTCAATTCTTTTTGGTACAGGATTGACAATCAACTGGCACACATCGTTAGTTCAGATACCTCTAACGGTAAGACATCATTCATTAAAATCGTTCCTTTTATTGTGGCTTTTTGTTTGCATAAAAAAGGTCACTTGAAAATTAACTTTATTGGCGTCAAATGTGAACATCCAAAGGTCGTATTCACAAAAAGCCATTTATTTCCTCAATCGAACTGTTCTCTCTCTCTCTCTCTCTCTCTGTTGCAAAATCAAACAGTTCACTCATTTGATTCAGCTCCTTCGTGTTTCACAAGTCATAGATTTTCACTTTCACTAACTTTAAAATTCCAAGTCATAGTGTCTTTTTTCAACGTCTCTTTAAGTATTACAGTCGAGTAAAAGACGATTTCAGATATCCGAATAACACACGTGAAAAAAACGCTTCATAAGCCCTTGAAGCAGCATCACGCTAACTTTCGGTTAAAGGTGCAAAGGTCACATGCAAATTTGCAATCACATATGCAAATCAGGATATAACAAACAAAGGTCAAAATTATAGAGTAATCTTGGAAAGTACACAAAGTTTTGTTTGCTTTTTTATGTCAATGCTTCCTACAGATGCAGCAAACAACAGCGGGGGCAGTCCTGCCGTAGGGTTGGTCGTGAGTTCTGTGAGCAAGGATGAGGGTTATGTTAACAGTACAATGACAAGTAAGGTCTTACGTCTTGACGATACTTCAGAGAAATCATCAAATTTCGTGTACGATTACGCTGCCATTGACAACTTACCCGTAGGTAAAGGCCTCAGTCGGGGGTCTCACAACAAATACCTTCCCAATCAAAGCAACCATGAACCCCCGTTGGTGCACCCCGCCCCACCTGATACTAACCCAGGTAGGCCCGATTCTAAATACGATGATGTTGCTGTTGGAAATAATTCCGATCAACTCGTTGTTGATGTAAACCAAGATCTTTATGTGAACCAAAAGGTCTTTGCAAAGCGTCGTTTGGGCAAAGATAAACAAGCTCCAAAACGGAGCGATGCTGGGACAAAAATGTTCTCCATCTGTCAGGAGCCACAACCTCTGCATACGGTCAAAACTGACAGCAATCCAGCAGTCCCTACCGATGATGTCTATGCCTATGCGGCCATCCCCTCTCCAATTAACAATTCTAGTCCACGTAACCCCACACCAGCGTGTGACGAGAGCATAGTACCAGGACAAAGCCCGCTGAGTGACGGGGGCTATCAGGCTTTGAATCCGGTCGGGCTAGAGGGAGAAAATACGTATACATCCCTGATTCTCGAGAAATGAATGACCCATAAAAAAGACATGAAGACCTTTGGGGTTCAGTGTTAGGAACGGTGGGGTTTTCATGCTCTTAGTTTCAAACTTCATTGAAAGGAAAACCAGATTGCAAATTCAGAATTGATGACAAACAAGATGATAGTACTATATATTTTTTTTTAAAACAGAACTTGGATGACTGTGCTTTAATGAAGATCATCAATAACAAAGGCACTAAGGGTTTTTTGTCAAGAATGTTTAGGGTATATTAAAATTCCCGAAACTGTTCTAATAGTTCTTTTAAAATGCGCGAAACAATCTGGCCATTTTATGGAGAACTTTTTGAACCAGACTATATATTTTTCTGGAGAACTCGGACTGCCATGGAACTTTTTGGCATTGTCGCACTGAGATCAAAATTTATTTACTGGGTATAATGCCGATTTTGAAATAAAATACATCAAGAGAATGATAATAGCTTAATTGTGAAAATAACTCACCGACAATTTTGTAGTTATATACGCGATATTGAAACTTGAAACTCATATTGTTCACAAGTTGAACTTCCCGTTTGTACACCACCAACATAGCTTAATAAACATGAAGTTGTCTGGCTCGCTCGAGGAAATACTTGGGGAAAAACGAAGCTAAGCCTTTATTCCTATAGGGATGTAGTTTTGTACATGAGAAATAAGAACCAAGACTTGAACGAAAGACGGGAAATTCCGACCTTAAACTCAGAAATCAGATAATTTAATCAATAAGTATAGAGATAAACATAGAATGATTGAGGCATCATGCAAATGATCGAATCGTATGACATGGGTAAATATTGTACGATATAATGATAAACCATATAACATTAAGCCTAACCCTCTATAGGGTGTGTGTGAAAAGTTACATTTAAGATCCAGAACTGTTGGGGTTCACACACAAAAATGGCAGTAAAATTTTACCGTATTTTTTTGGTAATAATTGTATTTACTAATACAAAAAAGCAACAATATTCCAACAACTTGTCTTTTCAATGAAACTTGGGGTTAATTACAATTCTTAGACAGGTACAACCAATTAGTTAGAATTGACATTGTGGTTTAGTTTTTTTTTGTCCAATTTCTCATGCATTTCTAGAAAATGAATCAACGTATAAAAAAGTTTCCCCAGTCAGTGGATTCTAAGTCTATTTTAATCTCGTTCATCTTTGATAGATTTGTATCCTGTTCCTTCCATGAAATTCACCGATATTTCCATAAATAGTTTTGCTTTGTGCAGATTCTTGGAATACCCATAGGATCATGCTGGACAGTGTAAATTGACGATAAGCTTAATCACGTGTTGCCATTATTATTGCTGTAATTGTGCCTTAGGCCACAAAAAAAAATCTCTGGTCAGACCGAAGTTCCGGAATTGATGCGGTGACGCGTTTTTTTTTTTTGTGGTTTTTTTTTTCAAGCTTGTTTTGTACAGACAAGGTGGGTACTATTTTGCTTTTTGTGACTTCATTATACATTGGTGTCCTCCACAATTTGCCTTGGTGCCCTTTATCATTTGCCTTGGTGCAATTTCCCCATTCCTTGGTGCTCCTTGGTACACAAATTTGAGGAGGCGCGGCAATAGAGGGCGATGTTGTAGCTTCCGTGTTAATTTGAAAAAAAAAAGGTTGACACGCATGATTAAAATCGACGCGCGCGCTGACCAGAGACCGAGTATTTGTTTTTTTGGCCTTAAGTAACCAAATCAAAGTAGGCTATAGTCACGTGACTGTAAATCGTCAAGTAGTATGTGCGATTGGGTGTATATTGCTTTTTAGTGTGGTTAATTAATGTTGAACACAGTTGCCAAGCTTGCTGGTATTTATCATGATGGTGCAATTATGAAATCAGATATAATAGTGAAACTTGATGGTGATGGTGGTGACAGTGGAGATCACTGTGGTGATAGTGCAGTGATGGTGATAACAATAACTGCATATGAACCTGTGTTGATAAAATAGGATTGGATTGCAGCTCAGTCAATACTTCGTATGATATTTAATTGAAAGCTTATCAGTCTATGATTACATGTATATTCACATTATTGAGTAATGGATATTTGTAAACCGTGATTCAGAATCTATCAAGCTCACAAACTGTCCAGGCTACCAACCAAAGTTTGCTTTGCAAAAACAGCTTGTCAAATCAGACACATAATATGTATATAGCTTGCAGCTTAGACAATACTTCGTATCCTGTTTATTAGTTTTTAATTAATCATGTTATACAAATTATTGGTGAATGTTTGTTTGCATATGTGTGAATTTCGGAAGCTACCAATTAGCTTACAAAATGTCTATGCAACCAACCAAAGTTTACTTGTAAAACAGCTGATCAAATCTGACACATAATATGTATATTGCTTGTATATAAGCGTGTTCTCATATGAATCTTGCTTATTACTGATAACCAAATTAGAATTAACATTGTGCTTTTCCCCCAATTTCTCATGCATTCTAGAAAAATGAATCAACAGAAACCACCAATTCAGTGGATTCGAAGCATGGGCGTCGCCAGGATTTTTTCTAGAGGGGGGCAAAACATATTTCCCCCCCCCCCGAAAAAATCCTATATTTCTCAACATATTCTCGATTTATCAGTTTTAGAGGGGGGGGGGGGGGCAGGGACATTTTGCCCCCCCAACCCATTACATTTACACGAATATGACTTCGCGCCTCTTTTTTGGGGGTTGCTTTTCCGGGGGGGGGAGGCGCCCCTTGCCCCCCCCCCCCGACACGCTCATGAATCTAAGTCTATTTTCTTCTCGTTGACTTTTGATAAATTTATGTCCTGTTCCCTCCGTGAAATCATCCGATTTTCCAAACAAACTTTGCTTTCTGCAGATCCTTGGGATAACCTCAGAAACATGCTGTACAGTGTAAATATTATTAACGATAAATCACTTGTTATGATTATAATGCTGTAATTGTGCCTTAAATGAACCAAATTGATGTAGGCCTAGTCGAGTGACTATTATCCGTTTTGTACATTTTGTGCCATTACGTGTACATTGCTTTTTAGTTTCAATGTTGACAGGCTTGCTGGTAATTATGACGGTGGTGCAACAAGCATGAAATCAGGTGTAGTGAAATTAGATGGTGATGGTGGTGAAAGTGGAGGTCACAAGTGGTGATAGTGCAGTGATGATGATAACAAGAACTGTGTATAAAACTGCGTTGATCAAATAGGATTGGATTGTAGCTTAGTCACTTCTTCTTATCATACTTTATTGTAATTATTTGAAAGCTTATTCTATTTTTACATGTATATTCAAATTAGAGTAATGTTTATTTGCGATGCGTGATTTCAGAAGCAACCAAGTTCACAAATCGTCCACGCAACCAAACAACCAAAGTTGTCTTTGTAAAAAACTGCTCAAACAAATCCAATCATATAATACGTGTATATTGCTTGTGTCTTGTTCTAAGTTGAATTTTGCTTATTATTTAAATTTGTAAACGGTATTTCCTGTTAAAATTTTCTAGGAGGTCGGACCCTTCATAGAAACGTGTGCATTTTTGATGTAAGACCAGAATTCTATTTTTGGAATTATCGTGTAAATACATTAGCTTCCTTGTTTTTGCCCGATAAACATGACGTGATGATTGTCTTTTATCTTTACGCTGAGCTATTAGCTGAGCTAATATTTGTCTTTACAAAAGAGCTGAGCTAACAAATATTTGTCTTTACAAAAGACCTGACACGTAAGTTGATATAAGCTGAATAAAGGAAGTGCTTCCATTATTATTATGGCAGTGTCATGTAAATCGTCATTAGCTTTGTTTCGTTTCTAGAATTGACAGGCGCCTGTTTTTTTTTATCGTTGAGGTTCCTCATACGGATTGTTTTGGAGTAAATGGATAACATTTTGTTGTTGTTGCAGGCCAAATACTGAACAACGTTTGCAAATTTGTGCCAATTCAGTGTATCGGCTTGTATAGGATATGCACAAAATGTTGTGAGGGAAACGCAATCTTCGCAGAGTATTGTGGGTATCGCACCGCCATTATTAATGCATGTATTATACATCAAATATACGTAAGCGTCGCCAGGATGGGGCAAGTTGGGGGCGCTTGTCTCCCCCCCCGAAAAGACACCTAAATTAACCCCAAAAAACCCCAAAAGGAGGGAAAAAAGAGATAAAAAAAAAATTAAAATAGTAATATAAAAGAGGTGTGAAGTCAGATTTGGTATAAATTTATTTCAACAAAATGGGTGTCTGCAGAGGTGTCAATGGGGTTGGGTGGGCAAACCAGGCGCGGTTCTACGGGGGGGGGGGGCTTTAACCCCCCCAAAATTTTGTCTAGCCCCCCCCCAAATAAATTCCGTAAAAATAAATTGCATTAGCAAAAAGAAGGATTGTGATGTACATGCGAACGGTCTCCCCCTAAAGAAATAGTCGTGACAAGGGTGCATTTGTAGTTAAAGGGAAAATACAACATTTGCAAACATCAAAAAATAAAACTAACGAATCATTTTGAAATACCTTGCTGGACTGTTAGTGAATGACAGTGTAAAGCATCCTGTAAAATCATGGCACCTGGTATACTGTCATTTTCAAGAAAAGTGGTATTTTTGTATCAATTTCCAACGCTGATCGGCCGACCAGCGTTGGAAAAAACTGGCTTTTTTTTCAAATACTGGCCCCAATTGACCATCGCGCTTGTTTGCAATCGATTACACACCTATGAACGGGTACAAGCCAGCTAGACTGGTTCCCTGACCTTACAATTCCCCAATATATGTAAACTGCTCTGTTTCTTCTTAAATGGAGTCAGGGAACCAGACTACATGAAAATGATTGTTTTTCTTGGTTTTTATAGCATTTTCGAACCCAAAACCTCAAAAAAGTCAGTGTAACTATATTTGCTATATATTTCCAACCCCCCAATTCCATCCATTTCTGAAAATTACAGCAAAAGCAAATGATGTATATTCCCTTTAATATAGTGTGAATGATTTTAGGATTTTATTGGCGCTCCCCATTGAAAATATGGCATGAGCCCCCCTTCCCCCCTGCCCCCTGCCCCCGCCCCCTCCCCCCCCCAACCTATTGATTTTCGGAGGCCAAAGTGTCTGGAGAAAATAACCGGTCTACATTTCAGCACGCCTATCTGAAAAAAATTCTGGATTCACCCTGCTAGCCCCCCCAAAATTTTGAACCGCGCCTGGGGCAAACACCCTCGAAACAATGATCAATTGAGAATATGCTTCGGAAGAACAAGGATTTTCGTGGGAACGATGTGCTATGCCCCCCCCAAAAAAATCCTGGCGACGCCCATGCCAATATGGTTGGAATGTCAGTGGGCCTGGATCTTTCCTTGTCTGAGGATTATACGTTCACGTGTGCAGAGCCACACAAAGTCCCGTCTGATATTTCCGTGCATGTAAAGTTTTTGCGACCCTGCGCGCCGGCCAATCGGAGCCGCCATTAGAAGTTGTGACATCATTTGGAACAGGTACATGTATTCGGCCAAAGCCGTTGATTGGTCAATAGCTGCCATCTGTTTTCTCATACAACATCGGGTGACCGAAGATCCGATAGAAGGCGCCCACTGAATGATCAAAATCTAGAGGTCAAGACGCGGTGTTGTTTTGCATAATCTGCACGCTATCATGGACGCAATTGCTGTGCAATCGTCTATTCCATAGACTATAGTTCTTAATTCAGAGGTGGATTTTTACTTTTGTGGAAAAAAATCATTGAAGAGAGTTGAATTGACGTCTTGTCATTCCTGATCTTCTCACATGAAGCCCCGTGGTAAGAAAAAAATGGCAAACATATTATTGGGAGCTTTAAGAGGCCGACCACTTAAGTCTCATGTGAATTTTTAATACAAAATCTTACCATTTTTTGCCAATTTGGCGAGATCACGTATATGTTCTCACATGAATGCATGGTGCACTGTTTGATAGGAACAATGTTAAAGACAAAGTGAACGAACTATTCATGAATTGAAAATACACTTTAATACCAATATAATTGCAACAGATCAAACATTCCGAATATCGAGAACAATCTGGATCAAGGAGAAATTGTATTAACAATCCGTCTTATTGCATGTACAAAATAAAGCTTTTCATGGTGACTGGAAGATTTTCCACACAGCACATGTTCATAACTGCATAGCATGCAGTGAATGTCTCATAAGTGAACACGTAAAACTCGCGGAAGTAAAACCTGGAACATTTGACGGTAGTGAGTTGTGTTGAAGTATTGTCAAGTACACAAAGCTAGGTACACAACAGTGGTTGTGAATAGGTCATATGACGAAAGTGGGGGTGTGTTTGGCACAACGGAGCACCACAGCGCAGCTTGGTCGGTTTGGGTCCCGTGTACGTTCAAGTTTAATTTCCTGCTCCCAACTGTTCATGAACACTCGCTCTCTCTAGAAACGCGATATTTTGGACCATTATACTTGCAAATGTGTAAAATCCTTGTCATTTGAAGTCAAGCACGGGTTGAAGATGCCTTCTATGAACCATCTCAAGTTTGTTATGATCGTATGCGTACAGCTGGTTGTGATATGTGTCCATCTGTACTCGGCCATGTGTCAGGGTAGCTATGACGGCGGAATCGGAGTCAGACAACGGCGAACCGCACAAGGGTAGGTTGGATGTTCAAGACATAATTATACATGAAGTAACTGTGTCATGATTAGCGTTGTTAATTACGTAACTCATAAGTACTTTGCTGATGACCAGCTTGAATCAGGACAATATGCATATCTATAACCCAAACCCATTAAAAAAAAGAATTCTACATTTTTGTAATCACGAACTGTAATATTCTATTAAAAGTTAGGCCTATACATACATACTCAGTGCATCTGCCATCGTTTTTTGTTAGCAGGAAAACGTTTTGTATAAACATTTCACTGTGAATGAACAATGACAGCTTCAATTTAACTGCACCGTCCGTGATATATAGGGACGGGTGTTACTGCTGGTCTTTTAAGAGTAATCGTATGTTAAGACTAAATAATTATTTTAAATATAGCAAAAAAAGATGTGATTACGTCAAGATTGAGATTTGTTTGTGCAATCATTGTGTTTTAAAGGTCGGGAGGCGCTGCAAAATGTGAATGTGAAACGGAATCTGCAACACTGACGTGTTCTGAGGAACCAACAGGTAATAATTGTCTCCATGGTAATGTACTATCACGTGGCGTATGCTGTTAGGTATTTTTTTTTAAACATCGACTGCATGTTGACTGTTGAAGTGCATAATGGCAGTGGCTGTTGGACCATTATTCTTTAATTATAAACGAGCTTAATCAACCAAAATTAAATAACGCGCTCACTGATGCTTACGGTTTTGATAAATTTGGCCAAGTACTGTAAACTGTCTGTTATTATCCAATCAGTGGTAATGAAGAATTATGTTGTGGCTTTCAACATTATTAGTGTTCTATATGCCAAACCCTGAAATGCCATAAGAGCAAGCAGAGCGTAAGGTGTTGGGTAAGAAATGAACTGTCATATTCGTCCGCAAAGTTGCATCTTTGGCGGGCTGCATGTGTATGTACACCACCCCCTATTTTCCAGGTAAAATTTATTTACATAATTTTGGATGCTTTTCAGCATGTGATGATGACGAGGTGTTATACGGAGGTTCCTGCTACAGATTCATCCACGATGAGCTCAAGTTACGTGATGATGCCCATAGAGATTGCATTGCACGTAATAGCCATCTAGTCTACATCGAGTCACAGGAGGAACAAACATTTCTGACAAATCGGTCACGCAGATATGGTACCGATAATACTGTTGCTAGTAACCATTACTGGATCGGACTGATTCCAACAAGCAGCAACGTGTGGCTGGATGGTAACCCGGCACGCAACGATCTGTTTGAATTCTCTGACGGCAGTGCAGCTGGATGTTTCTCTCTCTCTAAATCCAGCGGCAATGTAAGTTTACATGGTGAGAACTGTAATCGGGATCGCTACTACGTCTGCGAACGTCCTTACGGTAAGTAAAAGAGTTGCCAAACGTTTCAGAGCATAGTAAGCAAAGTAGAATCGACAAGTATCAACTCAGCTTCATTATCTCTCAATAAAAAACTACATCTTTGGATGTAGAATTTTTTCAGCAGGCAGTCGGTGTTTGTTATAGCCTCGCATTCTTGTTGAGGGAATTCTTGTTATGAAACAAAATATAGACAGGTATATTTTGAAATGCACGTTGATGATCTTTTGGCCAAATATTTAAAGCCAACAATTCTTGGTCAGGTGTTAAAATATCATAATACATACAGACTGAGCCTATTTGCGGTGCAGTAGTTTTTGTTCACATGGAATTTTGATTGTTTTTAACAGAATGTCCTCTGGGAGGATTCAACCACAGCGGTTCCTGTTACTGGGTCGGTGGGTCTAGGCAGTCGCACCTCTCGGCCCAAGGAGGTTGCAGTGATGACGGTGGTCATCTGCTGTACATCGAATCACAAGACGAATTGCAATTCATTAACAACAATCTTGCCATTGAAGACAATGTAAGATACTGGATAGGTCTGACTACCCAGTACGCTTGGTTAGACGGTAGCCGAGCCATCTATCAAGCATTCGTACAGACAATTCGAAGCAACAATGACGGTAGCCTTTGCTTCAGGTTACGACCCCTAGATGACTTTTTGTGGAATGATATTGGATGCAATACAAACTACGCCTATATATGTGAGCGAGAACTACCTGTTACTCCTCATGAAACGCAACAAAACCCCGGTTAGTAACAATTTTGTTGGTTTGGCAACGCTATACTACCTTTACTCCATTTGCAGATCGGGATAACAATATAATTGTAAATAAACAACACAAGAAACTATAAGTCCACGTATATTGAATATTGGATATAGCTAAGAAATTGACTGAAGTGGGCCTTGAACCTGCGACCGGGACCTTGGAGGGAGACTGTCAACAACTAGTCAGGCGCCGATGGGAAGACACACATTCTTGACAAAGGAAATTTACACACAGTCACAGCTTTCAGTTCTGCTCTTTCAGTCAATTTCTTTCTTTATTGTAAATCAAAACTTAGTGATAATTGTGTTCTTTCAGTCCTTTGAAACGATCTCATATTATTTTTTTTCTCAATGAAAATATGCAATTTCTGATTCACAAATGTCCGTTCTTTTTTAAGCATAGTTTCCCTATTCACGTGATGAACACCAATGAGTGCGCAAGATGCCGAAATATACGAATATAGACGAAGACCGAAGAGACGCGGTTTATGACCTCATTCCATCCCACCCCGATTTTTTTCAAACATTTCATTTAAACTTGAGATCTGTTGAAGCCTTGGAGTATCCATCAAAAGCTGGATACGCTACTGTGTTGAAGTACGTTTCTGAAAGCCAAACACTTCAGCTAAGCAGTAATGTCCCTTCCATATTTTCAAAGTTGGCGAGCTGTTTTTAATGACATGCTGCGAGATTGTGTTTTCTAGTTTAAATGAGTCAAATTCTTGTGCTAAGCTAGCGGACATCATCGTACACACCAACCAACATGTGTACTTTGTTTGGGCACTACATTGATACAGCCGGAGTTGCATCTGATTCGTGTTTTTTTTTGACCGATGCAGTTCGCGTTATTGTGGGTCGCCAGCGATATCCCCTGACAAATTTTTTACATTCAACTGCGTGTGTATTTGCTTCCTGTTTCTCTAATTTCTGTTTTCGTGTTGGCAGGACGAAAGAGAGGCTGATCCGCTTACTGCAAATGGAGCAAACAAATGGCTATTTCTCTAAACAGTTCTGTTCTTGACACTCAGGTGTTTCATGCAGACCGCCCGTCGCTAATCTCAATCGTCTTCTTGACTCCGTACCTCTGTGCGTCCGTAGTGACAGCCATTACTTCAACAACTCCGTTCTATGTCAATGTAACGACGAAACTTGCATCCGTGGCTGTGGCTGTGCACGTGACGACACTGTAGCCTGGTAAGAACTAGAAAAGTTCGAATTCGTCTTGCATATTAAAGGACTTTGTTAAAACCTTGGATATTTAAATACACTGAAAATGCGAAGATAAGATATAGAGAGTTAGACATTTGGGATCTTTGAAGGAAGAAAGGGCAATATAGGAAGATCACACTACCTCCACCTAATTATATAGAAGGCAGAAGCTCCGCCCTTTTTGAATGGTATTTATTGTTATTTCTTTTTTGCATCGTGTAGGCTTGAGACAATACGATGCAGCTGTGGCTTCTGTAATTTCACCTTAGACGAGTCTGAAGATAAAGTTTATAGTGAGTATAACTTTAATTTCCATTCGCGGACCTGCGAGTAGGACGGGATCTTGACATTTTTCTCAAAAAGGGGTTGGATATAACACTCCATTTCCATGATATTAAGTCCTGGCAATGCATGGTCTGAAACCTAGGGCTAAAACCCTTCGAATTATGCTATGTAATTGGTGTTTGTCATTACGCCAAATGACAAGCTTTGGTTCCAGATAATGTAAACGGAGGCACGAGATTACTGGTCAAGAAACATTAATGGTAAATAACGTGAGATTTCTTTCCCTGTGACTTTATTTTTAGGCACATGGCCATCTGATTTTAACTGCAGCTGCTTTGTAAACGAAACTTCATCAAATGTGACCGTCGTCAATGGTCAAGTCACCTGTGTGCCAGATGACTCGGAGTCTATCACATCAGGCATACCAATCGGTATCCCTGTTGGAGTGACCCTGGCCTTACTGTTCATCTTGGTGGCGCTCGTTGTTGGGTTCATCTGGTGGAAAAGAAAGGAGAAGAGAAAGGAGTTAGAATAATTTTTTTCATAGCAGAAATCTTAGGCAATTCAGTATGTAAATCTGACTAAATTAAATCTATTCATTGAATCTCTCCATGATAATCATTGAAAAATACCATTCATAGACCTTAAATCTAACAGCCTCGATCTTGTGTAATTCTATCAGTGAAACTTGGCATGTTACTATTGATGACATTGGTATACACCGTTTAGTATGTTCGATTTGAACTCAAACGTGAATTGGATGTTGATACCAAAATGTAAACATTTTCTTCAGGGTATGTATTTTGATGCGATCTGGTCTCAATCGAAATTTCTTTTATTCAAACAGGATTGACAAGCCGCTGACAGCAAACACACACGTTGATGGGTCAGACACAATTAATGGTGAGAATGTCTTGCAAATGATTTCAAGATCGAGAGAAACAATTTCCAGCCATTATCGACTTATACAAATGAAACATGTCATTATCCCCCAATTTCAATGCAATTCCAGCTGACACAAGCCTTAGTCAAGATACAAGCTTCTCTGCTGAAGATAATGTAACTTGTCCGCGTGCTTTGTTTCCATTACCTTGCTTTTATCTCTTCGCAGTCAATCCAACATACGGATTGGATGAAGATGATCACGTGACTGAAGACATCTTGAAACCCGTGGCAGTGGTTGGCCCGAGGCCCTTGAAGTCGGATCCTCACAGTGCCTATGCCGACATAAAGGTAAACGATTGCTGCGAAATACACAACGCATAACATAATTGGCAACACAGAGTCATTCATCAAGTCGCATGAACATAGAAATTACTGTCTAGATTAGACTGTTAAGTTCACCGATTTGTCCCCCTGTTTCCCCGGAAACCATCCGCCTGTGTACAATAATTTATGATTTCATCTGATCATTGAAATGAAGTTTATTAACTTTATAGCGATTATAACATGGTCCTCGAAGTACATATATTTCATAGTGCTATATTTCAGAATGATTAAATATTGCTTCCATTAATGAAGCTAACAAATTATGCGAGAGTGGTCGCTCTGTGAGCATGATGTTATGCAAATTAAAGACGTGTAAACAATCAGTTGTTTAGTTAACCAAAATAACCAAGATGTACCATTTTCATGCTACACTCATGGAAAACAATAGAATCATGTCCAATTGTGTATAAATGCGTCTCGCAAAATTACAATGTTCTTATCCTTTTCTTTCCGATTGTGTCACCAGCCAACCGAACGGTCAGCCAGTGCAGCGGAAACCAGCGAAGCAGATAGCTACGCCATCATCCAATCTGTTGGCTACACTCCATACAATCCCAAGGGACAGAGGGATGTCTACACTGCCCTGCAGGGTACCAAGGACAGCAACGAAGACAGAACTGGGAACGATGATGATGATGATCCAGCGGTGTATACCCCAATCCCAAACAACGGTCCTAAACAAGAGAAAGATGACCCTGAGAACGAGTACGTGGATCCAGAGTACGTGGTGGTAACACCATCTGGTCAGCAGAACGGTGCTAAGGGAGTCAAGGTACCAGTCCCTCTACCCAAGCCCAAGAACCTGACGAAGGACAGTGGGTACGTGGACGTCGATGCTCCAATCGGGGATTCTGTTCCAGAAGGGCGTGCTGGTTATGTGGATGTTGATGCTCCATCGGTAGGGTTCTTTGATGGAAGTAAGCCATCGGCACGCAGCAAGAAACCTGGCAGTGGGTACGTCAGCGTGGATAGCCCATCGACGACCTTCCCTAACAACCAAGATGATGACCCAGAAAACGACTTCTACTTCAAACTAGAGAAGCCCACTGCAGACGACGAAGATGACTACAGTCTGGCAAGTGCGCCTGGAGGAAACGACTACGACACGTTCGATCGAGCAGGAGCTAAACGCCCTAGTGCCAATGCTGCAACTGACGAAGGCATCTACAATCTCACAAGTGTTCCAGAAGATAACGAATATAACACCTTCAATCGTCCAGGTGATCAGCGCCCTAGTCATAATGCTCCTACTGATGAAGGCGTCTACAACCTTACAGGTCCACCTGAATCTAACGCCTATGACACCTTCAACCGAGCTGGAGGTAAACGCCCAAGTACGAATGCCTCCTCCACTGATGATGGCCTCTACAGTCTCACAAGTGTTCCAGAAGATAACGAATATAACACCTTCAATCGTCCAGGTGTTCGGCGTCCAAGTAATAATGCTCCTACTGATGATGGCCTCTACAGCCTCACAAACCCGCCATGCGATGACGAATACAGCACCTTCGATCGGCTTGGTAATCGAGGCCCGAGTGCGAATGCCCCTACCGATGAAGGCGTTTACAGCCTCACAGGCCCGCCTGAAGGCGATGTATATTCTACTGTCAGCCGTGTCGGCGGGAAACCAATGCCAGTGGTACCAGTGATAACTGACGAGAGTGAGTACTCTACCTTCGACTGAGACCAAAATATACAATCATCAACGGAGGCATTTTCCCTGAAATTGCATTCACCTGAAAAAAAAAAGAAGACCGGCAGATACATTGACAGAACTTTCACTTATACATTAAAGTTAAGACTGATACAAATTCTCAAGTGTTGTTCCATTTGGCATGCATATTGATTATAACACTGAGGTCAACACCATATCCAGTTTGGGACACCGTAGCACAGGAGGCTGAATTTAGTGTGCCAGTAATGGGTGGAATCTTTAGCTGAGCTAACATCAACAAAATAGTAAGGTTTCATGGGGATATTTCTTCAAGTCTACATTTAGCACTGAGTATGAAACCCTGCAGATTAGTAGACATATTCATCATCTTAAACATGAGGAATAATCTTGAACAAAATTCCAAGTTATTCTAGCGAAGGTTGTAAGTGCGAAAATTGAGACTCGAAAAAATTTCGAAGGTGATTTAAACTTGAGTTTTATTTAGTTGAAGTGGATTTATTACTTGAAAACCAAGATTTTTTAATAATGGCCGGTGAAGAAAATCACAAAACGAGAAGTTATGTTGATGCATAATTTTTAGGATATGTTTATCCTTTCGGTGGATTTAACTAAAGCAAAATTAGTGCTAGCTGAAAAATAAATTATTTTACAATTGAGTTTATGGATGGAAAGAATGCATTATAAACTTGGTGCAACTTGGTGTAGAGGTATTTTAGCAACAAATCGATATATTAGATATTTACATGATAATATTTACATTATAGTCATATATTAAGGAGCTGTTACAGATGTGTATATATACGATGAAGTACACCATTGACATATTGACAAGAAACCGCAATCTCTTGAAATTTATACATTTAAAAATTATTGCAGAAAATGTGCAAAGTTGACTATCACCAGTAAAGAGTATATGTTTAGTTTAATCCATACTACATGTTCTTGCTGTATATTAAACTTGTATATATACACACTGGTGGATGATTTAAAATTCTACGCAGACTGTAAATTAGATTTTAATTTGAACGACAAAAAAATGTTATAAATAAGTACATCTTTTCCAATGATGTACATGTTAAAAAAAACACCAGTAAAAATGCTTTAGAGAAAACAAAATGAGCAAAATCGAAAAGCAATGAAGTCAGAACGCAATGAATTGTTTACTTATTACTCACGAACTACTGGCTAACGATTATAGTTTGAAAAGATCTTTGTAGAGCACATCACAAGAATCTGCGCAACCATGGTTGTCAAACGTGCACTTTTCGGGGAGAATTTAAATAAGAGGTAAATTTGTTGTGAAATGTTTGAGCACCGATATTAAGTTTTGACTCGGACAGCAATTCAGTCAGTGCCATTCCTTTGCCTATTGTAGCCATATGATTTGAAATAATCATGTCACAGTTACTTTTATAGTTTATCTTTTCGTAAAGGTTGGTTCGTATTCGAGCACAAAATGAAGCGAATTTATTCTGTCATTGCCATTGTGCGTGCTACATATTCGTAAAAAGTTAGTCACTTTTGATATCCGTCGAGTTGTAACGCTGCGAATATTTGGTTACGTCAGAGTCACGTCACATTCGCATTCGCCTGAAGCACAAACCGACCCTTACTCGAACAAAAAATGGGATGCCTTTCCATTTATTTTTGCAATGTATACATAAAGGCCTACAAGTTAATTTGATATTAAAATTTTGGACTATATATACTCAGCTTGACATATAATATGCGAAACGACAAATTGCAACATTTTTGTATTACATGTACAATACTTGACTGAATACGAGTTACTTGACTTAATTTATATCTATATTCAAAGAGAAGCGGTGATACACATGCAAAACTTAAAATTGCTATCGATTTAAATAGTTGTAGATATACGAGTTACTTTGAAATCATTACATTGCTGCTCAGCTTATATTGATGTGCAAAGACAAGAGGTGATGAAATAGGCGAATTTATTAATATCGTTGAAAACACTGTGAAAGATTGTCTTCGATTTACTTCAAATGTAATATCTTAGATTAACTTCGTAAGTTTGACATCACACTTAGAATCGAAGGAGCTTTCATTGAGATTTTCTTTTATTACACAGAGATATTTTATTGACATATGGACACAAACAAATTGTATACATTTCAGAAATGTTTGCAGGAATGTTTCAAAGTTGACTAGTCAATAGTGAAGAAGTAGAAGCTAGATATTAGCTAAGCCCATACTCAGTGTATAATTTTTTTTTCTATACGCAGATTGTAAATTAGATGACCACTGTCGTTAAACAAACATGATAAATTTATTTGATTAAATATATCTCGTTGTAAGAAAAAAAATATACGCGTTGTGTAGAGTATCACGGTGTAGCGCATGGGGATGATTTCGGGTCTCGCTGGAGCGAGTAGAACTACACACACAGTTCGAAATTGAAGACCAAGAATGCATTGGATGAAATCACTATTATTTATTCATTGTCATTCGTTCATTCATTGACATAAACGGGCAGCTAGTCGATGCACCAGGGTAGGCACGGCTTACATCATTATTCACACGGATTCTCGGTCATATTCAGGAATAACTCCGCCTGCTTGACTCTCAGATTCTCCCCAATAGACCTTAATATCATGCTGCCACCATTTCAGTCATGTTCCCTGTATCCAATAACAGTACTGAATGATAACGTTTATTGTGTAAAAAGAAACCAGACTATTTTCCTTCCAGCCTCGCTTTGGTTACGTTGATTTGAATGGGAAAAATTAACAATGGCCGCAACATGATAATGGTCTATTCGGACGCCATTTTGTACTTTCTTCTTGACCCAGAAGTAGTTCCGGAGGACTACCGCTCGGAGCCTGGTCACCACCGTATGTCTGCCCTCCACCCTTCCCCTGTTCCCATCACAATTAACACTTACGTATTACTCCAAAGAATCTTAGTAACTTGTTTAGAGTAGACATAAATATTACATATGAAATTTCCCCTTTCTATATGCATGTAATAACTATTATTGTGGGTCTATATATTGTTACACACAAACCGATTGCCAGTCTTTACAGACAGATCCATCCGCGGGAAGGAAACACGTTCTATTTTTAGATTAGTGCGCAAACACAGCTACATAGGTTCCTCATAGTATTTGTTGGAGTGAATGGGTGACAAGTTGTGTTGAAGGCCAAACATGCTTAAACAAACTTTACAGATTAGTTTTGTGTCAATTCATCATATTACTTTGATAAGATATGGACAAAATTATACATATATAAAGGAAACGAAAACTTTGCAGACAGTGGGTATTTCGATCTTTTTGTGGTGGAGGAGTTAGGCTTACATAATTATAATGTAGTCCTAGTTTTCGGTAAATTATAAAATTGGGTTGAATTGGCATTATTTCTGCCATTCTTGATTTTTTTTTCCATAAGAGCGCCCCCATAGACATTGTGAGCTTGAAGAGAGCATGTTTTTGAAGTCCGGAAGTATTGTGAACCTTATAAAATCTGAGCGTTTTTACCCAGGCTTGGACGAGATCACGTATCCGTTTTTGTATGAATGTTTGCCCAAGGTTAGGAACAATGTCAAAGCCAATGTAAACGAACTATTCATGAATTTAAATACACTTTAAAGTTTAATAACAACAGCAATGGATCAGACCTCTGAATGGAGAACGATCTTGACCGAGGAGAAGTTGTATTAACAGCCTGTATTATTTCATCTAAAAAAAAAACCCTAATTTTCATGATGACTTGGCATCATGTTTTTCCACACAGCGCATGCTCCTAGCGTGTAATGAATGCCTTAAAAGTACACATACAACTCGCGGAAGTAAAAGTAGTGAGTTTCGTGGAAGTAATGTCAAGTACACAAAGCTATTTACATAACAGTGATTCTGAAAAGGTCACATGACGAGTGTTGTATATTTTGGTACAACGGAGCGCCACGGCGCAGCTTGATCAGTTTGGGCCCCGTGTACGCTCAAGTTTACTTCCTGCTCCCAACTTTACATGAACACTCACTCTCTCTGATAGAAACGCGATATTTTGGACTATTACACTTGCAAATGTGTAAAATCTTTGTCATTTGAAGTCAACCACGGGTTGAAGATGCCTTCTATGAACCATCTCCAGTTTGTTATGATCGTATGCGTACAGCTGGTTGTGATATGTGTCCATCTGTACTCGGTCATGTGTCAGGGTAGCTATGACGGCGGAATTGGAGTCAGACAACGGCGAACCGCACAAGGGTAGGTTGGATGTTCAAGACATAATTATACATGAAGCAACCGTGTCATGATTAGCGTTCTTAATTACGTAACTGATGACCAGCTTGAATCAGTTAGGCATACCTATACACAGACCAATAAAAAAACCAAGAATTTTACACTAAGATGGCGGTGGTTGTGGACGGACGTGTCCGTCGCGGCAGTCGGTCTTTTTATGAATAGTTCTTCATTAATTTCCCCTATGGGATAGAAATTTGAAATGGCATGCAAAGGAGGGAACAGTGCTGCTGATAGAGGTGAAAATGGTGAGTCTTCTGAGGTTTTCAAGGCTATAACTGAACTGAAAACACAGCTCAAATCCGTGGAGGGTCGCTTGACTGAACGGCTTGATAGTTTCTCCAATGATATGAAATGCAAGCTGGTTGACATTATCGATGAAAAGCTCAACGATTTTCACGCTAGTCTTCAGTTTGAGTTCGACCAAATTCGTGATCACTTGTCTGGTTTTGAAGATAGAGTTCCTGTCTGGAGAAAACCCAATCTCAGTCAAAAACCATGCCAAATTAGTTTTTGTTCTTAATACCCTGATTCAAAAATTTCGATTGAAAAAAGAAAAATTATACGTGTGTCTTGTTGACTTTAAAAAAGCCTTTGATTGTGTAGATCAATCTTTACTTTGGTTTAAATTAATAAATTCTGGTATTAGTTCTAAAGCAATTAATATTTTACGTAGCATGTACAGCTCTGTGAAGGGTCGCGTAAAACTAAAGTGTGGGGTTACTCCCGTTTTCCCTTGTAATGTTGGTGTTCAACAAGGTGCTGTTTTAAGTCCATTGTTGTTTTCTTTGTTTTTAAATGATATTGATACTGACCTGAGTAGGGCTCCATTCCATGGTGTCAATGTGGGTTCCCGTAATATTAGTACTTTACTTTACGCGGATGGCATGATTATTTTATCTGATACATACGAAGGCTTTCAACTACTTCTTAAAAAATTGGAAGTTTATTGTAACAAATGGAGATTAACGGTTAATACTGATAAAACTAATGTTATGATCTTTAATAGTGATCTGTACCAAAAAAAGTGATTCTAAGACAGATTTTTATTTTAATGGTGAGTGTGTCAATGTTGTTGATTTGCAATCATACTTGGGCATTATTTTCCAAACATCCGGATCGTTTAAATTCTCCATCAATAATCTGGTTAATAAGGCCTCCAAGGTTGCAGGTTTATATCGTAAGAGTGTTGGTTACGATTTAGCTCCTAAATTATTGTTGAAAGTATTCGACATCTTGTTTAAACCTATTATTTCTTATGGTTCTGAAATTATATGGAAAGGAGCTTGTAGGCGAGCTGAGGTTTTTCAATTGAAATGGTTTAAATTTGTTTTAAACGTTAACAAAGGAACCGATGTTGTTCCAGGTCTTTTAAGAGAAATCGTATGTCAAGACTAAAAAAGGATGTGATTATGTCAAGATTGAGTTTTGTTTGTGCAATCATTGTGTTTTAAAGGTCGGGAGGCGCTGCGAAATGTGAATGTGAAACAGAGTCTGCAACACTGACGTGTTCTCAGGAACCAACAGGTAATAAGTGTCTCCATGGTAATGTCCTATCACATGTCGTATACTGTTAGGTGTTTTTTAACATCGACTGCATGTTGACTGTTGAAGTGCATAAGGCAGTGGCCATTGGACCATTATTCTGTAATTATAAACAAGCAAAATTAACCAAAATCAAATAACGCGCTCACTGATGCTTACGGTTTTGATAAATCTGACCAAGTTCTGTAAACTGTCTGTTATCATCCAATCAATGGCAATGAAGGACAATATGTTGTGGTTTTCAACATTATTAGTGTTTTATATGCCACCCTGAAATGCCAAAAGAGCAAGCAGAGCGTAAGGTGTTGGGTAAGAAATGAACTGTCATATTCGTCCGCAAAGTTGCATCTTTGGCGGGCTGCATGTGTATGTACACCACCCCCTATTTTCCAGGTAAAATTTATTTACATAATTTTGGATGCTTTTCAGCATGTGATGATGACGAGGTGTTATACGGAGGTTCCTGCTACAGATTCATCCACGATGAGCTCAAGTTACGTGATGATGCCCATAGAGATTGCATTGCACGTAATAGCCATCTAGTCTACATCGAGTCACAGGAGGAACAAACATTTCTGACAAATCGGTCACGCAGATATGGTACCGATAATACTGTTGCTAGTAACCATTACTGGATCGGACTGATTCCAACAAGCAGCAACGTGTGGCTGGATGGTAACCCGGCACGCAACGATCTGTTTGAATTCTCTCAAGACAGTGCAGCTGGATGTTTCTCTCTCTCTAAATCCAGCGGCAATGTAAGTTTACATGGTGAGAACTGTAATCGGGATCGCTACTACGTCTGCGAACGTCCTTACGGTAAGTAAAAGAGTTGCCAAACGTTTCAGAGCATAGTAAGCAAAGTAGAATCGACAAGTATCAACTCAGCTTCATTATCTCTCAATAAAAAACTACATCTTTGGATGTAGAATTTTTTCAGCAGGCAGTCGGTGTTTGTTATAGCCTCGCATTCTTGTTGAGAGAATTCTTGTTATGAAACAAAATATAGACAGGTATATTTTGAAATGCACGTTGATGATCTTTTGGCCAAATATTTAAAGCCAACAATTCTTGGTCAGGTGTTAAAATATCATAATACATACAGACTGAGCCTATTTGCGGTGCAGTAGTTTTTGTTCACATGGAATTTTGATTGTTTTTAACAGAATGTCCTCTGGGAGGATTCAACCACAGCGGTTCCTGTTACTGGGTCGGTGGGTCTAGGCAGTCGCACCTCTCGGCCCAAGGAGGTTGCAGTGATGACGGTGGTCATCTGCTGTACATCGAATCACAAGACGAATTGCAATTCATTAACAACAATCTTGCCATTGAAGACAATGTAAGATACTGGATAGGTCTGACTACCCAGTACGCTTGGTTAGACGGTAGCCGAGCCATCTATCAAGGATTCGTACAGACGAACCAGTATAGCAACAACCAAGGCAGCCTTTGCTTCAGGTTACGACCCCTAGATGACTTTTTGTGGAATGATATTGGATGCAATACAAACTACGCCTATATATGTGAGCGAGAACTACCTGTTACTCCTCATGAAACGCAACAAAACCCCGGTTAGTAACAATTTGTTGCTTTGGCAACGCTATACTATGTTTATTCCATTTGTAGACGGTGCTAATATAACAATATAATTCTAAATAAACAATATAAGAAACTATAAGTCCACGTTTATATGATATTACAGAACCAAAAATTGACTAAATCGGGACTTGAACCTGTGACGGGACCTTGGAGGGAGACTGTCAAGACGTCTGGTGATGAGGGGAAGACACTAATTCTTGCCCAAGCAACTTGGCAGTTTCAGTCCTGCTCATTCGACAAATTTCTTTGTTGAGAATCAAAATTTAGTGATAATTGTGTTAGGTTTCACCAATGTGTAATTATACTTTTTTTGTTCTTGAGTAGCCATATAGTTTCTTTCAGTCCTTTTAACAGGTTTCATTTTTGTTCTCAATAAAATATGCAATTTCTGATTCACAGCTAAAACGCCCGTTCTCTTTTAAGCGTAGTTTCAATATCCAAGTGATGAACACTGACACTGAGCATGCAAGATGCCGAGAGCTGAACTGCATACGAAGAGACGCGGTTTATGACCTCATTCCACCCCTCCCCCCCCAAAAAAACCCACAAAAACTTCAAAAAGTTCTTCTGAAATTGAGTTTTGTTGAAGTATCCACGTTTCTGAAAGATAAACAATTACGTCCGTATTTTCAATTGTGGATAGCTGAATTTAACCTTTGTGACATGTGTGATTGTGTTTTCTAGTTTAAATGAGTCCTACTCTTGTACTTAAGCTAGCGGATATCCTTGTACACACGGCCTACCAGCATGTGTATTTTGAATGGGCACTGACATGATACATTCAGTTAAGGAGAATACACGAGAAAGTGTGGATTCGTAATTTAAGAATTCACGAGGCGCGAAGCGCCGAGTGAATTCGTAAATTAAGAATCCACACTTGCGAGTGTATTCTTCGACTTAAACCATTGCGTCAACAGAAGTATTGGAAAGAATGCTGCAACCTGACGCCACTTTTTTCTTCATATATCATCTCAATGAAGGCCATTTGTTGCAAAAATGATGATGAGCCATGAATCTGGGACTGATAAATGTTTCCAAAAATTGTTAGGAAATATTTGAAATGACTCTCCATAGACGTTGTACACAAGCGCGGAAGTGGCGTCAGGTTGCAACATTGTTTCCTGACGTGTTTAGCATGTGTATCGACACACAGGCTCCTTACGTCAAAATGGATAGTTCAGCCGACGATTTCTTTCCGACTAAAAGTACATTTTGCAGTGACGGCGGAAAATCTGACAGTGAAGATGCATTGGTAATTTTCGGAAAGCAAATTTTCACGCATACGGTCCTATTCATGCTCATTATAGAGAACAATTGTCCGACATGTTCGAAGTGTGGATTCGTAATTCCGAATCCACACTTTACTAAAGATTCGTCGTTCCGAATCCACACTTTGTGACCAGTGTAAGAGATTCGTAGATCCGAATCCACACTTTTAACAATAGTGTGACGTCATTGCAATGGTTTAAGTTTCAGCTGCAGTTTCCTCTCTGCGCATGGGCGACTCCTATAGGGATACACGTAATTAGTGCTGCCGATTTTACACCAATGATGTGACTTAAAAAGATATCTTTGTATTTTATCGTTTGTAGACCACTTGATTTGGGAGCCGTTGTTATTGTGTCACTATTTCGTTCTTTCACTGTACATTTGTCGAAAAAATGTTTAAAAAATGTTCGCTAGATTTTTTTTTCTCTTGATTGATTGCGTTTGAATATTGTCAAAAAATGACCTTAAAATAGATTCAGTACGTAACTACGATCCCAGAAAATTAGTCAGGTTTGTTGAGGTCTTGCACCACGTATCGCGAGCAATAAACAAACCCCACTAAAACAATACTGTTTAGTCGGCTTTCAAAATGGCTAATTTTTATCACAACAAAGTGAGTAAAACGTAGGCTATACGTGAACCGGAGTTGAACCTGATTAGTTTTTACCGAGGCAGTTCGCCTTATTAAAGTCTGGGTCGTCAGCCATATCCCCAGACGATTATTCTTTTCCAGTTATTTGCATAATTGTCTCTTGTCTGCTTCCTGATTCTCAAATTTCTGTTATATCGGTGGCATAGACAAGAGAGGTTGATCTGCTTAGATATTCATATCTTCAAATGGAACAAACAAATGGCTATTTGTCGAATGCCATAGATTAAAACGCAGTTCTATTTATTTTTTACACACACTCATCAGGTATTCCATGCAGACCACCCGTCGCTTATCTCAATCGTCTTCTTGACTCCGTACCTCTGTGCGTCCGTAGTGACAGCCATTACTTCAACAACTCCGTTCTGTGTCAATGTGGTGACAACGAAACCTGCATCAGTGGCTGTGGCTGTGCACGTGACGACACTGTAGACGGGTAAGAACCAGACAAGACACGGAATTACATCCTTGGATATATAAATTCACTTAAAAGGTGACGATTAGATAGGGAGCTAGTCATTCGGGATCTTTGAAGAAAGAAAGGGCACTTAAATACGAGATGGGAAGATCACATACCTACTCCTGCAAGACAGCACCTTTGATCACATTGATCACATTTATCATATTTTGCTTCAAGGCTTGACACAATACGATGCAGCTGTGCCTTCTGTAGTTTCACCTTTGACGAGTCTGAATATGAGAACGCTATTTACAGTGAGTATAACTTAATTTCCTTTCGTGTGCATGCTAGCATATATTTTGTTTGATGTTCAAAAGTCTTTGGTGATCATATACGGCGCATACACTGGTCAAATATTTGGCGATATACTTCTCCCCACGGATTTTACTCCCTCTTCTACATGGTAGATATGCAACTTTTGAATTGTGCTACATGTTTATGCACTTGGTATTTATCATTACTACTAATGACGAGAATTGGTTCCAGATATGTAGACGGTAGCATCACGTCATGAAAAGTCATGGTCAATAATGTGATATCTTTCCTTGCGACTTCCTATTTAGGTACATGGCCATCCGATTTTAGCTGCGACTGCTCTGTAAACGGAACGTCATCCAATGTGACCGTCGTCAATGGCGAATTCACCTGTGATGACTCTGAGTCTATGACAACACCGGGTGATGACAGGAATGATCAACCTTCAACATCAGTGACGTCGTCAACACCAACAACAGTTGACCAGACAGGCGTACCAATCGGCATCCCTGTTGGAGTAACCCTGGCAATACTGTTCCTCTTGGTGGCGCTCGTTGTTGGATTCATCTTGTGGAAGAGACACCCTGGGGAAAAGGCCTCAAGGTAATGCTTCTTAACACAAAGCTCATATCAAACCAAACAGAACCCATACATGGAGTTGGTTTTTGCAATTCTCCACACTCACCAATTGACGTTTGAATGTATCCAAGTGACATCCTCAAAATGTTATAAGTTTGACTGTTTTGAAATGATAAACATATAATATATATCAAACACCGTTTTATAGAAAGAGAGTCCGATTCCTCAATTTTGATAAATATAAGTGCACTCATTTGGTGGAGCATCGCCAGACTACAGGTTGTTCGTAATGCACAGTTGGACATAATCATGACTGATTTTCTTCATGAATGTTCCTTTCAATTCTTGTTGGTACAGGATTGACAATCAACTGACACACATCGTTAGTTCAGATAACACTAACGGTAAGAAATCAGTAATTTTATTGTTTCAGAAATAAACTGTTTACTTGAAAACTGACTTGGCCTCGAATTTAAACATCCAAAGTGTCGTAATTACAAAAAGCCATTCAACAGTCTTTCCTCGAACGAAATGGTATCCTTCTGTGGCAAAATCAAACACTTCACTCAATTGATTAAGCTCCTTCGTGTATCACGAGTCACAGCTGAAGACTTCGGGTTGGCAAATTTTTATTTAATTCCAAAGTCATCGTTTCTATTTTTAATAGACCTAATAGCGGACTTCTGATGAATTTTACAGTTAGGTATGGTTTGACACATCCGAGTAAAACACGTTAAAGAAAATCGCCTCAGGAGCCATTGACGCAGCACGCATCGTATGCAAATTGTGAACTTTCGGTAAAGGTGGAAAGTCACATGCAATATGCAAATTACATGCAAATCACGATATAGTAAACATGTCATATCTAGCAAATAAATATTAATATTGGAAAGTATACACAGTTTCCTTTTGCTTGTTATGTCAATCCTTCACACAGCTGAACCAAATGACGGCGGTGACACGTTGCTGTCTGATGCTGTACACAACCCAGCCCTCACCTCCAGTGTATCAGACGATTCTGAACCAGACGAGACAGACGTCGGCTACGAGAACCCTGGCAAAATGACAACGAGTCTGCAGCCAGACCCTGAGATGCAGTATGATTATGCCGCTGTGAGCAGACCTGCAGTAGAGTTGGTCGTAAATTCTGGGAACAAGAATGAGGGTTATGTTAATAGTACAATGACGAGTAAGATCGTGGCAAAAGACAAGCCAGAACCAGAACAGACTAACCGTCAAACGGTCCACCCTGATGATGATGATAAACGTCTTGACGATACTTCAGGGCAATCATCAAATTACGTGTATGATTACGCTGCCATTGATAACTTACCCGTGGGTAAAGGTCTCAGTCTGGGGTCTCACAACAAATCCCCACCAAATCAAAGCAACCGTGAACCCCCGATGGTGCACCCCGCCCCACCTGCTACTGACCCAGGTAGACCCGATTCTAAATACGATGATGTTGCTGTTGGAAATAATTCTGATCAGCTCGTTGTTGATGTTGAGCAAGATCGGGCTTATGTGAACCAAAAGGTCTTTGCAAAGCGTCGTTTGGGTGAAGATAAACAAGCTCCAAAACGGAGCGATGCTGGGACGGAATGTTCACCATCTGACCGGAGCCAGCAGCCTGTGCGTGCGTTCATAACTGCCAGAGATCCCCCAGTCCCTACCGATGATGCCTACGCCTATGCAGAGATCCCGTCTATAGTTACCAACCCTAGTCCTCGTGACTCCCCACCAGCGTGTTATGAGAGCATAGCACCGGGACAAAGCCCGCTGAGTGACGGGGGCTATCAGGCTTTGAATCCGGCCGGGCTAGAGGGAGAAAACAAGTATACACCCCTGATTCTTGAAAAATGAATGAATCATGATTAAACGATTCCTTGACATTTGAGGCTGAGGGTTGGTAACGATCCTGGGGTATTTATGTCGCACTTATTTAAAAAAACAAAACTTTGAAATGAATGCTACACACTGAGGGTTGGTAACGATCCTGGGGTATTTATATGGTCGCACTTATTTTAAAAACACTTTGAAATGAATGCTACACAGCAAATATAGAATTGATGAGCGTAATGTTGTTTTGGGATCAAGAAGGTTCAGGATATTTTTGAAGTAACAATTTAAAACTTTGAGTTTCTGAGCCAATAATCTGGCCATTTTGAAGGACACAATTATACAGCGGAATATTCTCCTAGATTACTCAGATTACTATGCGAATATTTTCACTGTCACATGGAGCTCAAAATATATTTATCGGGCAATGTTGATTTTGAAATAAAATGCATTAGAAGCGAGATAACAGCTTGTGAAACAACTCAAAACAATGTTAAACTGTAGTTTCCAATGCAGGGAGATTTCACATTGAAAATCTAAAGTTTGTACATTACTAACGCATTATGCGAACTAAACCAGGCAGGCCCAAGCGACGAAATACATGGGGAAAACACAACGTGGCATTTTTTCTAAGTATGGGTGGAGGTTTTCTGTGAGAAATCTGATCAAGATTTGATGTTTTTCAAGGAAACACAGGAATTTCTCATCTTCAAATTAGAAATCTGATTATCTGATCAATAAGTTGAGATAAACTTGGAATGACTGACAATGATGAGAGTATGATGTGATGAATGTCAGATTGTGTGATAAGGTGTGTATTGTACGATACAGTGTATGTTATATCACTGCCAATATATTACTGCCCATATAATTGTACCATATATTTTTGTTTAAGTAAATGATTGTACTTAATATACTTTTTACAGTTAACAAAAAAACACAATAAGTGACTGTTCAAAGAAGCAATAAGAAAGTCATTTGCTCCATTCCTAAACGATGTATTTTAAGAATAGGAATCAACATGACCAGTGGATTCCATTGCAAATGCTATTTTCTTCTCGCTGAATTTGCAACCCCCGTACCCATTGGCAAATTCGATTTTTTTTTCTTCTCGTAAATGTTTTTAAACTTGTATTAATTTCCTTACGAATAGACTGGCTCCCGGTCCGTTCATTATTCATACTGATTGTTGGGCGAGAACCAACTCACCCGCGAGAACAGAAACACTGCCGGGAAGCCAATTCGAAATTTGTAATGATTTAATAACTATAGACATGGGCTGATTTTCTTTTCGAGCGATGTCTCATTCAAAAGTAAATAGCTTAGTTTGTATTGATAGAAAAGCAATTTCGGAAAGAAATCTATTTTTGTGATGAAACCCGAAAAATAACAAGTAAGCTTCAAAATTTAACTTTCGATTCATTCGTGTCTTGTTTCTTCTATTAAATGCACCGATTGTTCAGTTTTGCTTTCGGATCCTAGGGATGCTAAAAGAAACCCACTCACACAAGAGCATGCTGTATACATAGTAAATTACTGATAAAATGAAGCATTCTCTTATTGCTGTTATTGTGCCTCAAATGGACATTTTAATTAACGTACCCAGCAAAATTAATTCTGTAAACTTTAATCCGTTATGTTATCATTAATGTGAGCGTATATAAGCATATTGCTTTTCAGTCTGATTTTATATGTTGATGTTTAAGTCGGATTTATTGAAATATTGCAAGGCTTGCTGCCTTTTGCTGGTAATTATGATGGTGGTGCAACAAACATGAACAACAGGTGTAGTGAAGTTTGATGGTGATGGTGGTGAACGTGGAGGTGATCACAGTGGTGATAGTGCGGTGGTGAAGTAACAAGAACTGTTTATTGACCAGTGTTGATAAAATAGGATGATTGCTCAGTTAATACTTCGTGTCATATTTTACTGTATTTAATTGAAATCTTATCAGTCCATTATTATATTCAAATTGTTAGATAATGCATATTTGGAATGTGTGAATTCGGGAAGCTTATCAAATCGGACACATAATAATTTTGCATATTGCATGTGACGTGTACACAGTTGAAAATTGTTTATCACTTCAATTTGCTGATGATTATCTCCCGTTGAACATTTATGTGTGGTTGGACCCTTTATGGAAATGTATTTTTGATGTAAGACTAAAATTCGCTTTTAAATTATCCTGTAAATACAGTATGCTTCCTTGTTTTTGTCCGATAAATAACCTCATGTAATTTTTTTTCTTTACGCAGAGCTAGCATTTATTTGTCTTTACTAAAGAGCTGACGAGTAAGTTGATATAACCAATTATTGATATAACCTGAATAAAGGAAGTGTTCCATTATGATAGCAGTGTCATGTAAATCGCCATTAGGTTTGTTTTGTTTTTAGAATTGGCAGGCTTCCTTTATTTATTTAACGTTGACGTTCCTCATACGAATTGTTTTGAAGCAGTGAATAATTTGAAGTGAATGATAAACATTTTTTGGAAAGCCAACGGTGGTACAAAATTTACAGAATTGTACTATCGCTTGGATAGAACATGTACAAAATTATGTCAAGGAAACGCAAACATCGCAGGGTATTATGGGTAGCTTACTGCTATCATAACATTACAGTTGACAATGTCATTCACTGATCTCTATTAGTGAGGTGAATTGGGGACATAGTGCATAGTAGTTCACCCAGCTATGTGCCACAAGTATGCACCCCAGTAAATAGGCCAACAAATCCGTCCGCCGAGCTCATGAATAAAACCTGTACTGCACTCAAATGAGTCTATATTAGAGAGTTCTGAGAGCCATGGAATTTGGGGATTGAAGGCATATGGCACTGAACCTCTGGCCTGGACTTGGGGCTTCCAATTCTGAACATTTCGGATGCAATGGAGTCCGAAAGTGGGCCTTTTATCAATATTTTGGAGGGATCCTTTTTTTTCAAAATGGCTATACTTTTCCAGTTTGGGTAACATCATTTGTTTTAGGGATGGTCTTCTCTTGGTGAGACTTTCTCTGAAAAGTCATTGGTCTACCCACCAAATATTGAAAGAGAAATGAAAGACGACATGGTGATCTTTATTTTTCTGTGCAGGCACTAGTGTCATTGGGAATGGGATGAACTCATAAGTGCTAACGTTTCATGCACATGCGCAATTCAGTGTTGGCCCTGGGTAAAAAAAAAAAAAAAACTATTTGGTATTTGGCAGTGGGTACTTTGGGCTAATGATCACGTAGGGCTCCTAGAGTAATCCGCCCTGTTTGAGCTGACTACCAACTATTGGAGACTGGAGAGAGTTTTGCTGGTAACCTGTGACTATATAGAAGAACAAAATAAACATGGCAACCTTATAAATTTGTGCTCTGTGTATTTCCCCCCATTTCACCTATATCCTCGTCTGAATGCCTTTACAAGGTTAGGAACAGTGACAAAGGTTTCACAAAGCCAAGGTGAACGAACTATCCATGAAGCAAGAAAACACTTCAGCTCCAACAACCTAAATATTACGTGTATTTCGGGAGCTTGAACATACATGGAAGAGAAATCATTGCTCAAAGCAGCGAAATAAGTTTAGATAAAATCACGCATGTTTATATTTACATGGACACGACGAGCTATGCTTTAATACAGAGCAGATTAATATTCGGTAATTATTTTTGAGGGCCTGATAGGATAACACGTAAAATAGACGGAAGTAAAAACTTGTCAAAATTGTACGATATTGAGTGCAGCAACAAGTATTGTAGAATACACAAAGCTTGGTACATAACAATGGTTTTGAATAGGTCATATGACGTGATGTGTGAAACGCACTACGGAGAACCTTGCACCGATATCACACCGTGTGGAAAATGTATGTGTGTATTTATTGGCTAATTTATTTCCTTATTACATTTCAACTGCGACTGCTGCTTGAAATCACAAGCATACAATTCCGAGAGTGGGAAGGCTAATTTGGACATACCGCACCGTTTTCGGTTTATGATGTGTTACTCAACGTATAAAATGTCTTGTGGAAACCGTGGACAGTCTTCCGTAGTCTTTAACATGTCGTTGGTTGTGATACTCGTTGTGCATATGCTGGTCGTAGCAAGCGGCGACGCCAGTGATAGTTTGGACACAGATGGGTAAGATTTTAATTGGAGTTCTTTTTAACATAACGGTTTTCCTTTGAACATGACTGCCACAGGGGCTGGTTGTGAGAACAGTGCTTGTTTCGATAACTGATTCTGTAAGCAAACTACTCTTGTTTAATAGCTAAGGTTTGTTGTGTACTTTCAGTTTATTTTCTGTCAGTCGGTTTTATAGCGAGCGGCCATGCATCAACTAGATGCATGTGTGCAGTTTTTATGCTTTAAAGCACGATTGTGGGGATGTATAGACATGAACCATGCAAAAGCGGCACGTAACCTTACTCTGCTGAACCTCAATGTTTGTTCGCATGTTTGTTGGCAGTCTGATTGAAAAGTACTAATTCCCCTAAAAAGAACTAGACTCAAATCTAACACATCGTATACTCTTTAAACATTTACAGTAATTAAAGTTATTCACTTTTGAATGAGACATCACATTTATTCTGCAAAGTTCTAATTTTGCGAAAAATACTGCAGTTTCAAAGGGTAAACTAGTTTTCGCAACCTTTACGAAAGATAACGGTCTGGAAATCAGTCTACAACTTTAGCAAATCTTTAACAATTTTTTTCTCAAAGGGTTGCAGACTCTGTACAAATATCAATTTCGTTAAAATATCAAAAAATGTCATCGTCCTCAAAATGTTAACATCTACAAATACAAACTTAGAATGTGTTTTAGGTAGAATTGAACAATGGTGGTCTGAATGATATCTCTTTCATTGATGTTGCACAGATCAGGAACAAACGGAGCAACTGGAGTCACTTCATGTCAATGTAACAGTGCGACACATTCCTCGCGACTGACTTGCCGAACACCAATTGACGGTAAGGGGAGCCCCATTTTAATATCACTCTATGAGGTCTTTTAAGAAAGCCTGTTTGGAAAACAGATAGCAGTTTGTAAACAATTTCCAATGCATACATTTATTTACTACCAATGCGATGTCA